ACTCTGGTTTGCGTGTGGTCGTCTGCGGTTCCACCGTTGGTGATCTGGCCATGCACTTCCTTAACCGCTTCAACATCCTCGTGATCAAGATCCTTTCGAAGTTCGAGCTGCGCCGACTGTGCCGTGTTGTCGGCGCCACCCCTCTCGCTCGCCTGGGCGCCCCCATGCCCGACGAGATGGGTAGCATCGATGTTGTCGAGACTACCGAGATTGGCGGTGACCGGGTGACCGTCTTCCGTCAAGAGGATGCCAACGCTGTCACTCGTACGTCCACCATCGTCCTGCGTGGAGCTACCCAAAACCATCTCGATGACGTTGAGCGTGCGATCGACGATGGTGTCAACGCAGTCAAAGCTATCACCAAGGATCCCCGCCTGGTCCCTGGTGCCGGTGCCACCGAGACCCAACTTGTGGAGAGAATCTCTGCCTTCGCGGATAAGACTCCTGGCTTGCCCCAGCATGCCATTCGCAAGTACGCTGAAGCGTTCGAGGTGGTTCCTCGCACTCTGGCCGAATCGGCTGGTCTGGACGCTACTGAGGTTCTGTCTCGTCTCTACACCGCACACCACCGGTCCTCCAACAATGATGAGTCGGAGGAATCGTCTGCAGAGGAGGGCAGCTCTGAGAAGGAGGAGCCTTACTGGACCACGGGTGTGGATTTGGAGATCAGCTCTTCGGCTGGGACCCTTGACGCCGTGGAGGAAGGCATCCTGGACCTGCTAGCATCTAAGAGCTGGGCCATTCGTCTCGCGAGCGAGGCTGCCCGGACGGTGCTCAGCGTTGACCAGATTATTGTTGCTCGACAGGCCGGTGGTCCTAAGCCACCGGGCCCCAACCCCAACTGGGATGAGGATTAAATGTAATATTTAGGAGAATACGATATCCATTGGAGGCTCAAAAAGCACGGAATGTGATTTGAGACACGATAATTATGAAAAGCCCATGACCCCTATCCATGGGCATCTGTATCATTTGCAGGCTACAGTAACAGTAGTGGTAATGGATCTTTCCAATTCGTACATCCGGAGTCTTTCATCCATTGCTGCGGATTTGTTCTAGAATATACCTAAGAGTTGCTGATATACATAGTAAGTACTTGATTCTCTGTTGACAGAACGCCGACTAGCGGGTGTCGGTATCACGTGACGCGACTGGATTTTCCGGGCCGACACTCGACTTTCTTTTCCCGCAAAGGCACTTTTCGAGCATCCGAGCACATCGAGCAGCTTGAATCCCCCTTGGCCTAGCCACCTTCTGTCGCCCCGTCCAGATCGCCTCCCTCTCACGCCCAGCATGTCCATGTCTACCCAGTTCGCAGCTCGCTGCTGCAGACAGATTGTCCGCCCTACCGCTTCCCTGCGCGTTTCCTCCGCCTCATACCTGTCCAGCAGCCGGAGATGGCAATCCACGGAGTCTGCTGCTCCTGTCAATCCCAAGATCACCCAGATTGTCGATCAGATCAGCCAATTGAACCTGTTGGAGACTGCCGACTTGGTCGCTAGCTTGAAGGTGCGTTTGTTGCTGCTACTCTGGCATGTCGCAGAGTCCGCCCGCCTAGGACTTTGTTTGATACAGGTTCCTATCAATCGAACTGCCGCCGGCCGCGATTGATTGCTCATGTGATCGCGTGAACTCATGGATAGCATTGCTGACGAAAACTTCTCACCTTATATAGTCCCGCCTGAACATCCCCGACCTTCCCGTCGGTGGCTTCGCCATGGCCGCTGCCCCCGCCGCGCCCGCCGCCGCCGAGGAGGAGGAGGCTCCCGTCCAGCAGGAGAAGACTCTGTTCAACCTGAAGCTCGAGTCCATCGACGCCGCCTCCAAGGCCAAGGTCATCAAGGAGATCAAGAACATGCTCGGCCTGTCCCTGGTCGACAGCAAGAAGTTCGTCGAGTCGGCGCCCAAGGTCCTGAAGGAGTCCGTCCCCAAGGAGGAGGCCGAGAAGATCATCGAGACCCTCAAGGCCGTCGGTGCCAAGGTCACCATGGACTAAAGCGGATGGTCATTTTTTTGACGGTCCGGGGGGACTTTCCTTTGTAATGCTACCCCGGTCCATCTGGGTCGCCCGGTGGCTCATCATTCTTGGGATGAATCGACAGACACAAAAAGACCTGGATGGGCCTGGAACGTTGTGATTGGGCTGCATCATCGAGCTGGAGTTTTTATCTCGCACCACCCTTATTTTCTATTTTTGTGTATTGTGTTCTGTTATATCACCCTTTTCTTTATTATCTTTTTTCTCCGTCCCTATATCTCTCTCTCGAGATTCTATTTTCTGATACAAACGGAAAGCGGGAAAAAGGCGGCGAATGTACATTATCATCTGTATCGAATGGACAACTTGGAAACAAGAGGAAAGAAACTGGTTGTTGTTGTTGTCTCTGTCATCCGAGTTTGCCAGCAAATCATCAGGGCTCGTACGTTAGTATTTTTGATGAGACGAGTAGCTGTCAAATCGGTCTTAGTTGAAGCAGTACGACGGTGGAATTGCGCGACAGAGAAAGCAAGACCTCGTTCATCCCGGGAGACATCTAAGTAAAATCAGTCCATTGTATTCTAGCCCCATTGTTATTGTTATTGTTTTTGGCGCGAGTTGTCGAAAAGTGGACGGAGATGCGGAAAGCCCGAACTCCAGATTTCTTCCTCCCCGCCGCCTTTGCGTCAATCCACACCTTCCTTCACTTCTTGTACACCCTCCCTATCCATTCGCCATGTCCCTTCCTGGGTCCTCACGCAGCATCAGACGACAATGCCAAATACGTCTGCATTCGGGCACAAGCCCCGCCCTGAGCTTGCACTATAGCTCCAACCTGCGCCCCCGCCTTGTCCAAGATCACCTCCACCCTCAGCATAATCAGCTACTCGCACCTCGGCCTCCGCCCAGTGCCTGCTTCCATACCACTAGATCCAACAATGACTTGTATCGAACTCCCCGAAAATCCCCTGCGCTACGACGCGCCGCCAACATGAGAGATGCCCGCGTGTCTTCTCCTCCCCGCCCTGCAGACATCGGCCCCGAATCCCACATCACCGGCGACTTCACAGCTCACCAAAAGTGGCTTGCAACAGGCGGCATGGACAATTGGGCGGACGCCGTCCTGAACAGAGACCTCAAGACAGAGATTACGTGGCCAGTTTTCGAGGCCACCGGCCGACACTTGCTAGAGTGTGCTCATGGCGGCCCTCCCACCCTTGCCGCAATCGAAAACAACCCACGCAACTGTACGTGACAATCCTCTTTAATCCTCGCTATCTCAGGCGTGACAAGTCTTGGGGGGGGTCGCGCGTTGCGTCTAAGAAGATTACTAACCATCTTTCGCGAAACATCAGTGACGCCCTTGGAAGTGTTCAAAATCGGCAAGCTCATCCTCCCGCACCACAAACCCTTCCAGCACTGGGTCTCCTCGGCCACCGCGCTGGCCAAAGTCCGGCCGGCGATCTACATTCAAGCGGCCAACTACCTGAAGGAGCTGCGCGCGCAGCACAACAAGAGCCACCAGGCCCCGCCGCGCGATGTGCCGATCCTGCAAGCCGTCGAGGCCCTGGCGACGGGGCCCGTTCCGGACCCGCGCGCGATGCACCTCCACGCGCGGGTCCTCGGCCACCGGCAACAGTACCGCGAGGCGATGGCCCTCCTGGACGAACTGCTCGAGCTCATCTACCCGGCCAAGAAACTCGAGCCGGGCTTCGAGACCGGGCTGTACTTCCCGCCCATCGACTCCTTCTGGGACACCTACCTCTGGGTCCAGGGCATGATGCTGGACCACCGGCACAAGACCAAACACACGCCCGAGGAGATCTACCGCCGCGCGGCCGAGGAGTTCAAACAGCCGGAGTACCTCGTGCGGTACGCGGCTCACCTGCGGGAGCAAGGTCGGTGGGACCAGTATGAGGAGTACATGCACATGGCGGTCATGGCGGGCCACCGCCGGGCCACCCGCCGGCTGGCGTGCTACTACTACCTCATCGCGCAGGGGCGGTACCCCCGGCGAGGGGAATCCGCCGCCGACTTCCGCCCGGTCGACCCCGCGCAGGAGGGCCAAGGCCTGCTGCAGGAGCAGAACCGCTCGTGGTGGACGCGGCTCCGCGACGAAATCTGGTCCGAACACCGCCGGCCGTCGCTGACGCACTATCGCGCCATGGCCCGGGAGTTGTTCGAGCTGGCGGCGGCGTATGGGAGCCCCGAGTCCGTTGTCATCGCCGCGGTCATGGCCCGCGAGGAGGGCCGCCTGGCCGACGGCGAGCAGATGATTCGCACTATGCTTCGCGCCAACCAATTTCAGAGTCCGGAGTGGACGCAGGTCAAGGTGGACGTGCAAAGCCTTCTGGAGAAATGGGGGGATCTGCAGTTCAAGTTTAAGATACCGGAAGAGTACTTCGTCCTCTAGGCGATAAAAGAAAAAGGAAAGTCAACAAAATGAAACTTGGGCTGCCCTTCTGCGGGGTGGTTCGTGACTCGGTATTGGACTCTCTGAAGTGCGGTGTGGGCGGCTTTACTGAAAGCTCGATTTCTTCTCTGTGCACACCTTAATGACTGTGATACCCAAGCATAGACTAAGAACGTCGTTCCAATACAAGAGAGATCGCGGAGCAGTGGGGGGGGAATCCGTCCGAGTAGGCCTGGTGTAATCTTGAAGGCGCAGTAGATAATGTGACTGCGACTGACGCGCTTAGGTGGAATATTCATGGGCTACCAGGATCGGAAAGTATGACAAAGCCCCGAAATTGAAGAGAGACTTAATTATCAGCCGTAACGCCACCCCTGTGCTCGTCGTAGCGCGACGGCTTGCCTAGGTTCGCTCTCTGCGTGCCGTCACTCCTCCCACCAGAATCATTCATCATATAATAGAAAATCAAGGAACATCGAAAGAAAGATAAACACCGAACATGATCTGGGGGTGGAGAGAACCGAAAGTTCTCCTTTGCCAATACAACGCGGTCAACCCTTGTCATAATTCCCCCCAGCTGCCGAAAGAGGCTTTGGAGCGTTCTACGTATCACCTCCTTCGACCCTTCCCTTTCCCTTTCCCCCGCGTCTTCAATTCCACGAACCCAAGCTCCTTCAGTCCTTCCGTCAAAAGGGACGAATCCCTCATTCCAGGAAAGTCCTTGGCCGGAAATACGCGGAAGGGATTCGTCCAAGCCTCGGCAAGGATGGGCATTGACTTGCCAGTGTCCTCCACGTGACCCCAGTTCATCAGACGAAATTGGAGGCGGTACAGTCCAGCTGTACGGACAGAAAGGTCGGAGAATATATAGAACGTAGCAGGTTGTCCCTGTCCCGAGGTGTGTGGGGTGTCGTGGTAAGGGTTCGGTAGCACGTATTCGCCTATTTCGTAGTAGGGCGAGGATGGATGGGCTGGCGCGGTGCTGGGGTCCGGGTCTTCATCGACATAAAAAGGTGACACGAAAGCTTTTCCGGATAGCAAAGGAGTCGACTGTCCCTGGCTCAATTCATCCGCTCTACCCGTACCGTCGGCGTTCATGTCTGATTGGGAAAATCCGGGCTCGGGAATGAGGAAACAGCCCACAGTGAATCGCGGATCTTGAAGGATATTATTGTCGTCAGCGGATCTTGGATCGAAGTCCCTCAGAAGCATTTGGATGATGGGAGGTGGGTCGATAGGCCGTCGGTCTCTGTCACCCGCGCCACAAGCTCGCGCAGCCAAAGGCTGCTGTCTGATGTAAAGGTGATATCGTGAGGTTGAGGACGGTCGCCGCGGGGGAGGGGACGGCGTAGGCGAATGATGAAGCAGTCTTTCAAATCCAGAAGGCATACTCGTCGTACTCTGCCTTTGGGGCTGTTGTATCTGACGCTTTTGAGCGGCCATGCTGGCGGAAGACCCCCCCGTACAATCATAACAGTGACCAGGACTTGGACCAGCCGTGGAGAGTTCGCTGTTTCTGCCAGCAGGAATTAGTGGCTTGACCGGAAGAAAGCACATGGCACTTCTCATCGCAACTATGAAGGAAAGACGGGCGGGGAAAGTACAGTGAGGGTAACCTGCATGCGCATGCTCAAAATGAGAATGTGAACAGGAAATATGTGTGCATGAGCCAGTCAAGAGATAACAGAACCATGATCACGCTTCTGAGCTCGAATGAGCCAAGGCCAACAAAAGAAGGGAATGGAAAACTAAGAGGTAGGAAAATGAGGCATACTCCACGTTTCTCAACACATTGGACCGTTGAGCCCCAAAGTGAGCTGGACTACCAGTATTATATGGAGGAAGCGAAGGAACATCATGCTTTTGATTAGCGACACTATCCCAGAGTCTCTCCTGATAGGGCGATCTAGAGTTGAAGGCGGTAGATGCGACAGTGGGATCATAAGTCTGACTGGCTGGGCCAGGAAATAAGAAGCGCGGAAGCTCGTCCGTGGGATGAGAATGACTCGGAGATCCTGTTAGCGCCTGATGGTCGTCGCCAGCGGCTTGGGCCCGCCCATCAGAATATTGCCCGCTGGATGTGGCATGTCTCCATTGATGTAGCGGCGTCCTCGACATCTAGACAATTGGCGCTCGGAAGTATTCCTTCCGTTGATTCTTGTTTCTGGTTATCTCCTTGGGGATTCTCTTCTGTGACTTTTCCTGTCGGTGGGTCTTGTTTTCTATCGGTAAGTGCTAAGAGCTGATCCCACAGGTCGTTTTCTGCAGAGTGAACATCCATATATAGGATCATGAATTGATGGGTCGAACCGAAAGCTCAATAAGATTAAGGCGCACTGGGTGATGCCCAAAAAAGGGAGACAAACAAGAAGGGGATGGCACTTGACTGGATTGAAATGATAGCGCGCGGCGGCATAATAATATCTTCCAGACGGAAAGTAGCTTCGCAGAAATAAGGTAGGGATGTAGAAACACGGCGTTTGGGGGGGGGCTTTTAGGGGAGATTCAAGGGTCCAAAGAACATGGTCCGCCGTTGGTGGACGTTCCTACGAGGAGAACTGGTAGAGTAACAGTCATCTATTAGTTCGTCCTGACGAATGCCAGAAAATTTCCCACAAAGCGATTGTCTGGGAAGGGGTATAGAGTGGGAGGGGAAATAAGTAGGGAAAATCAGAAAAGAAAAGAGTTCCACCAACCTCCATCCAACCAGCTCATAGCACCGCTTGTGCGGCTGCAGGTAGTGACGATGGAGGTGCTGAGATTTGCAGTCAATCCGCTGCTTATAAGGCGTTTTGGCTTGTCTGATGACGCAACGGATTCAGCGACGATAGGAAATGTAGACTAACCCTAAATTAAGCAGTAATCTGCAAATTTGAATCCATTCCATATGTGACCGTGAAAAATAAGATGGAAAAAGAAAAGAAAAGAAAAGAAACAGATCCGGGGAAATTGGCAGGCTGGGTAATACTTGTGAGAGAGCCTGTGCGTGCCCACTGCGTATGTGTGTGGCATTGCGCGAAAATCAAGACTTGCAGCAACACTGCGTCCCTGACAGGATCCAGCATGGTCTATTCCCGGATCCTGGGATTTCTATCGAACATTTGGTATCCAGTCGTTCGAATACAGCCCTGAAGAGGATGGTACTGAGACAGTCTCCGTTGGTAGTGTGACAACACATTATTGGTGTCTGGTACTAACCGAGCGAGTCCGGCAAGAGCCCGAGGGAGGTCTTGGTCATCAACAAACGAACACAAGGAGCAGCTGCTTATATGATGCCCCCCGAGGGTGTTCGCTGTAGAGGAAAGAACAATGAGCACTGGTATAGTATGGATGCAGACATGGATATCGGTTCCAAGTGTCCCAGAATTGGTAGATAGAAGGGCAGCTTGACAAGGTAGATTAGCCATCAAAAAGTACTGAGAAGTAAGCTACTCCGACGAGCCGCCTGATGCTGAATCAGTTGAGGGGTCAATCATCTCAAAACCCTGGCTTCTTTGTATACACCCCCTCGTGAAACCAGGAGACTGCTTTTTGCTTTGCTGCGCCACTGTTTGAAAAGACGCAGCACCGAAGGGAATTGTGTAAAGATGAGAACACGACGTAGCGAAGGGTCGGTAGTTGCAGATCGTACCGCATGATGCAGAAGCAGCACATATTGTCATTAGAACCGCTGATTGGTCCATGTGTATAATTGTCAATTCAAAATAATTAGTGATACGCCAGATACCCGCGGGCTTCCATGATCGCTTTTAACAGCGACTGGTTCTGTTGCAGATTGAGAAGCTACCAGGGATTCATGTGAGCCAGAAATATAGGAGGCCACCGTATTGATGGTCTGGCATTGGTATTTCCCAATACAGAAGTCGCCTGCAGCATCCTGAACTTGAAGGGACAAGAAAATGACGTTGTAGGATTTGGAGAGCACCCACTAGAAAGCTGTTTGGTGGAGTCGAAGAGTTTCACTGTATCCGAGCTGCCGGTCCCATACGGAACTCTGTCCCGAGACAAGAACCCGCAGGCGCATACAGTCGCTCGCAGCAGAATAAATATTAGGAGATCAACTCTGACCGCAAATTCCCAAATCTTGCCATCCTGTCATGCAGTGTCGAATGCCTCTGCAAATGCATCACCTTCGAGATACGGGCCCCCTCTAGCTCCGAGGTGTGTTTGGATTACAAACTCGCTGCCAAGTCTCTTGCTGTGACTCATCATCTTACGTCGAAGCAGAAGCATGTCGCAGCTGAAGAAGACCGTAAAAACCCAACACTAGTGACAGTTGTGGGGAAATGAATAGCCGTCGCTCCAGCCGCTGCTGATGGTGGCGTGCTGTGGCTATTGGATCATTGCACGGGCCACTACGGTAGGCCAAAGTGCTGGGAATCCATAGTTAGACTAAGCGTAGCCGGAATAGACTATCCTCGACAGGGCTCGAAGTCAATGTCACAAAGTCGTTGCCAAACAAGAAAGTTGAGAAAAGCGGTTTTGTCAGGCGACTGGAGATTGCAGGCCCGTGCCGTTTCTCTTCGATAGTGCTTAAGATGAAAAACCCCTAACACGGGGTACATTCGCTTGAGTGATGCGTGTGTGGCCTCTGGACTGGCGAGGTAAGCTTTTCATCCTTGCAATGCGGTATAGGATCCCTTGAATGGCCACCGCCCCAGACTGTTTCATATTTGCTGACTGGTATAGCGTAGTTAGTGCTCTGACCCACATTCAAGGTCCAGAGCGAAAGTTTCTTTAACCGACAAAGGAGGTGGTGTGTTTAGTGCATTAGCATCGTAGCGAGTGTTCGCCTTTTGCGACTTGGCGAACAGGGCTACTGCATGTGAGTGGTTGCCTTACCGACAAGAACAAATGATGTATCTTGACGGTTGAATGGCTTCCCTGGGTTCTGTGGGATTGGCTGTATGCTGGCGGATTCAGCACCAGCCAGAGAATGGCGTTTCTCCCTGTGATCCATGCAGTATCCTGAAGTTCCTGGAATTTATGTGTACTTAGTACCCACTCTTGGGTTTGCGCTCGGGTGGCTGTTGGTCTGGACCTCTGGCTCCGGAGGCTACCATACTGCAGCCGTTAGCAGGACAATAACTACATTGACGGCCCTGCTTGTGCACACGACCAACCTTCAATGCCGCATGCCCTGTTTTTCAAGGTTCTGGTGCCGCTCCACGCTCGAATCCCGTTCTCTCATGTCTTGCGGCCGCAGCCCTGCGTTGGCATTGAAGTAGCGAGGCGATCGGTCAGTCGCTGACTCGACCGAGGCAGCTGGATTTCACTTAGCGCTGCGTGTAGGCAGCCCCGAGCCATCAGCCTCGAGCAGGCAACTGAAAAATTTTCAAGTTCGCAATACGAGATCCTCAGAGGCGACCGCACCCAAAGAGAATCAAAGCGACGGAGTACGGAGTAGTCATTCCGGAAAATGTCGAGCTTAAACCAGCAAAAATATAGTGGAGCGCTCAAACCGGAGATCTGAGTATAACCTCCTTAGACTGGTTCACACGACGCCAAGGTGGAGTGGGAATGTATCGCGCAGACTTGGAATCAATCGCTGATGAGTCCCAAAGAGTTGTCCACTAAAGAGGAGCATCGAAGGGGAAGATCTGGAGGTGGAGGAGGAGGAGGAGGTAGGGGGAGGAACTTGGAAAGAAGGAAGGGGGTGAATCAAGTGACCGGCACCCCATCACAACACAAGCAATTTGACCCCGTCCATTGCACCTCCGCCATAAAGCATCCCACGGTTTCAGGCGTCGCCATACCTAAGAGTCTGGCTGTACTTTCGACCACATAAAGCTATGGGCCCGGTGTGAAGTGTGAAAGGGAAGCAGGGAAGGCTCAGACTCCGGTTGGGGTGTTCCGATATGCAACGGCGGTTGGATTACACCGGAACCAGACTTTCGTCGACCAGACAACAGTTACTTACCTTGAACTCCCATTCACCTTACGTCGGGCTCTTCGGTTCAGCCTGTTCGGTCATAAATGCCTCCAGCATGATGGCTGTGATATTGAGCATGGAGCTCGGCACCAAGGCACACTTTACAGCCCAAAAAAACCCAACATTCGGTTATAATAACTCCTCGGAGATGCACTTCATGGATAACGAAACAAAGAAAAAGCTGAAATGGGGCCAGGTGCCAATCAGACCTATCGGCCAAAAAAAGGCAGAGAGAGAAAAAAAAAAATGGAAAAAAGCAAATCAGCAACTATTCTGACTGCATGACGCTATTACCTCCGATCCCTCTTGGATGCTGATCCTCGAGCTTATGGCAGTCCTACGAATCTTCATGCAATCAGATTACTCGCTCAGATGAAGGAAGAACTAGTGCATTGGGCGTAAGGGAGCAGGGATAACCTGGCGTCCAGACTGACAAGCATCGTTGTGCCTGTACCTCTGTGGCACTCACCAAGTCATAGGATCCCAGTCTTCTCGAATCTGGCATTGGCTTCCAGGCAAAGGCAAGTTCGTCCCGCGTTAACTCAAGACTGCTATTTACTTCGTGATTGCGAGAGCATACCGACCTATGTCTCTAGTATATATGTGCTATATCGTCTGTTTTCATCAACCATCCGCGGAGAAAGCATTGCAGTCACTGGAGATATTCTACTTGAGGTGCTTGAAGCAAGGTACATGCCAGGCTGATTGTCACACATCTACGAGTCTACATCGTAGATAATACTCCGTTCCTCGATTAAAGAATTGGCTACATGGTGCCATCTCAGCCGAATAAGGGTATATCAAGTAAGAAGCGTATTGACAATGCTCTACTTCCGGTTGTCGCATACAGATACTGTATTTTACAGGCAGGCTAAGAACGGGTCGTGGCTGCATGCCTCGAGTCACAAGACCTCTGCGTACAAATGAAGCCCAGAGATGATAATGACAACCTCCCTCATGGTAACAAGTCCGGGCTTGGATCCACATCAACATAATATCTCGTCGCACCGCTACCGATTGGAGTGACACGATTGCTGGAGCAGTGTGTCGGTCGGTCATTAAGAGCGTTAACACTCACGATGGACCTTAGACCGAACCGCAGATTCGGAGGTCCTGCTTCTATGCGATGTTGGCTTGTGCCATGGACATGCCCAATAAAGACTGCAATCGGCTGCCCATGAAAGCGATCCCATGCAAAAATGTGTCCCGTCTGCTCCCATTTAGTGGCATCTTGCGAGTTTCGCTCTTGAGACTTCTTTGGCCTTGCGACTAAGTATCCAAGCTGCATCAAATGTAGTGATCGCTTGCCGGCAAAACATTGACCGCTAGCATCTGGGCTAACGCGAAGTAAACCTAGTGTAGAGGGTGTCCAAGGCTTGGAAAAGTCGGTCCCAATGGGCGATAGAGAACCTGTAAATTCAAGTGGGGCATGCTGGGGACACCAAGCATACTCCATATTTGTATCTGCATCAGGGATGGCCAGACTAGACACCAGGCTACCTTCATGTTCATTGAGCGAATCGGCAATCTGACCAAGGTCAGCTATCGATTTTGAGCATCCAAAGCAATGAATTTGCGTAAGAAGCCGCTCAATGCTACCATAGCCAGTGCTATCCCCATCCATGGTCAAGAATGGCTTTTCACTAGCGACCGTGAGGGGTTCAGAAGCACTTGAATGGAGTAGCATGTTAGATTGCCAGCGGATGCCCAGCCGATCCTCCATATCTGTGAGAAGCCGATTCAGAATTTCAGTATGTTCTTCCTCGCCAACTAGGGAAGCTTGAAGTTCATCATCGGAGAAAGCGTAGCAAAGTGACTTGGCCCTCCAAAGGAACGGTAAAGTACTATTGGCGCGCTCTGATATTTGTTTCAAGAATGTAATGGCCTGTTGCGTATCCCCAGCGTCAATCAAGGCCTCCACGCACGTATAGGCAGCTTGAAATTGATTCTCGTGCGACTCAGGAGTCAGATTCTCTATGATTCTAGCCCATAGAGTATCCTGTAGTGCCTTGCTGTTCATTTTGACGAGCAAGGTGAAATAAGAGCCAGACCATGAGCTCCGATGGTCAGGCCCTGCCCAATATAATATATCATGCAAGCGGTTACTGCTCGGTTGGGCATCTCCAGTCACTAGGCTAATCATTGCACTTATGTCCTGGGTTCCCTCGCAGAATTCAAGATACTTGAAGGCATCAAGGAGAGCGTGGACTAGAAGTCTGCTCTCGTTCGGACCCAAGCGTTGCGAACCGCAGGCTAGATAGCCTTCCAAGTAGCGCTTGAGAGCCGGAAATGAAAATGCGAGTGCTGCATAGTACATGCCTAGTACATAGAGACGCTGCGAGCAATGCCCATCTATCCTCTCTACACGCGTAATAATCCCATGGATAGCAGAGAGAACTTCTCGAAATTGGTTGTGTTGTTCACAGAGTGCTAACGCTTTCGATAGAGGGGCGCATTGCCGAGACTGCAAAAGTCTGCATCCTTCCTTGTTTATCACATTACTCTCAATGAAGACTTGCAGGTCAGGAAGACTTCTTATTTGTCTGGTATCAAGGTGCGAGGCCTTAGGAGCGTGTCTTTTTGGGTCTGGCCAAAGAGTGGCCAAAAGTGGCGAAGGCAGGGAGTCTGCTGGCCACTTACTCCGAATGCTTTGCAATAGATTTGATTCCAAGATTGGATCAATTACATGATGCTCAGGCCGTTTCAGCGTAGCAGTCAGGGCGAACCGAAGTGTTTGGGACGGGGTGGCCTCGGGATATGAAGACCTCTGCTTGTCGCTTAGGTCAACATGGCGACGGAGCGTTATGTGGCGTGGTACTGATCTCTGGTCCAGTCTGCGCCCAGATACAAGCAGGTGACTATGAGTTCGTGGGTTCGGCATGGAGCTATAATAAAATGGTTGAGCTCAGAGGTCGATCAATCGGAGTTTACTGTATGACATGCTACCGAGAATGTGTGGAGTGGGCGGGCGGGCGGGTCGGGGGAGGAGATAAGGATAATCAGACAATCAGGGGAAAGTCAAAAGGCGGTCGGAAGGGCGGCGAGTCGTGCAAATCCGAGCCAGAGTTGACCTCAGCCTCAACCTTGATTTCTTTCATCATCCATGCTGGGAACACGAACCCCAGCCTTGACTTCTTTCATTACCTAGCGCTCTATCATCACGTTGCTTTGAAACCCATCTCCGAGTTCTAACATCATTTCAACCTAATCCTGTGCAGACTTCGGCAAAATGCCCACCGAACACAACATCGAGCAGCCTGCGGCAAGCAATCCTGACTCTGAGCAGGAGCAGCCAGCCGAACAGCCAGGCGATACCTCCCAGGAGTCTACTGCTAGTGATGCCGTAGAGGATGTCTCGAAGACAGTAGATAAGACAGAGGATGATGCTGCTTCCAAGGCCCGCCTGCGCAAAGAGAGATTCAAGGCTCTTCAGGCTCGCGCAGTAAGCACTCCACAAATTCATCTTGTCTAAAATGCGCGTTTTTACTGACACTTTTCCCCTCCAGAAAACGGCTACAGAGCGCAACCTGAAGGAGACCGCCGCCGAAACACAACGTCTAGCGACCGACCCAGCATTACTTTCATCGATCTCGCGCAAGCACGCCTTCGCATCGCACAACCTGCTAAAGGCTGATACAGAGGCTGCGGGCGAGGATTTTGAGCGCAAGCGCGCTTGGGACTGGACTGTGGATGAGTCGGAAAAATGGGACAAGCGGATGGAAAAGAAACAACGCCATCGCGATGACGTTGCCTTCCAGGACTATACGCAAGATGCGCGCAAAGTTTACAAGAGACAGCTGCGCGAATTACAACCTGACTTGGAGGGTTATGAACGTGATAAGATGGCGGCCATCGAAAAAGCCGCCGCCAACGGGGATCTCGAAATCGTGGAAACCAACGACGGCGAAATGATCGCTGTCGATAAGAACGGCACCTTCTATTCCACGGCAGATACTGTCGGGTTCACGGAAAACAAGCCTGATCGGGCAGCTGTCGATAAGCTAGTCGCGGACTTGAGAAAGGCTGAGGAGGTTCGACTCAAGAAGCGAAGAGACCGCCGCGGAGATGATGATGGTGACGTCACCTACATCAATGAGAAGAACAAACAGTTCAACCAGAAACTGGCTCGCTTCTATAACAAGGTATGTACCGTTAATTTCTTCTGGTATCAAGTCTAATCGTGTAACAGTATACAACCGAGATTCGTGACAGCTTCGAACGTGGAACTATGATCTGAACGGATCCAATCATTTTACCCACCAGCGGCCACATCCACGGAATATTCCAACATTGGTTGATATCTGAGTGGCTCTGCACGTCCCGGTCGTTACATGCGGTCTCCCTTGCTGGGGGTCATATTTCAGAGCAATGCGATCAAGCTCGAAATAGCCCAGTCGCCTTATAGCCAAGCGCTGACCCATTGAGCTTAAAACTACGATGCTAGTCTCGTTGAGCTCCATTTGCAGAGAGCAAGGACGCGCTTTGTTTCTGAGGTTGACAGAAATCGTAGGGGAAAGATTTCGTCTAGGGGTATCGATTGGTAGCCTTCCCTGTACAAATACACTATACCAGCAGCACTTCATTGCTTCCACTCCACCTTGAAGCAGTGTCGCTCTGCAATCCTTCCAAGAGCTGCCTCATGCTTGAATAACCAAACTCGTCTCGAATACAGCCAACAGTCAGCGATTCAAGCAGTGGTCGGTCCACCCCTCAACATTGTGAAGGGCTTGTTGCACACCGGGGCTCTTTATCATTCTGTGACATTCTTAGCATCGAGTTATAGAAACCTAAATTTAGCCATACCGTGTGATTAAACCAATGCTCAAAGCATGCTTTTTCTCCAGGCCTTCGTGGCTAGGGCTTCGATCTTTTGTACCCCCAATGCTCCGCGAACAGACTCATCTTCGAGGGCCTCTGCCACAGCTTCCCCTACGTCGTCCACCTTGAGTGGCTTAGTTACCATCGAGCCAAGAAAATCAAGCTTGTTCCCCAGCAGAGCATTGACCTGGGATCCGACAAAGCCACCGAGCGCAATCGGCAGGGTGAACTTTCTACTCTCATCGTACATAAAGGGTGCCTGCACGAACACATTCCGAAGTTCCGGTAGCTGCGCTGCTATGATCGACTCCGCTTCTCTCTTGGTTGTGATGTACCGACTGGGAAGGACCGGCGCTCCCGACGCAGCAGAAATGTAGACAAAGGTAGGAACCCGCTCGTGGTGTGTCTCCTGGGCGAGCGCGATAGCTAAACATCATGACCCCAACCGTCAGCATGCAGGCCAAGATTATCCTCTCTTTTTAATGAGGACCCAAAACCCCTCATCCGGAGCACTGCGTACTCACCGGAATCTCTGTTCATCAGCTCGTATGTAAACTGCCCGCTGCGGTCCCGGACCTCAAGCGGCTCGCCCTCTCGTCTCCCCCGGAGATCCTGACTGCCAGGCCTCGAGGCGCTGAAGGCCCTTTGTAGGCCACTGAGAATCGGCTCCCTGCCCTGCACGACTCCTTTGTAATCCGCCTCGAGGAGAATGCCCATACTGTGGACCACGGCCGTGGCGCCATTCAGGAAAGCCTTGTATGTCTCGGGTTTGAGGATATCGGCCTTGGCCCATTCGACGGAGCTCGCCCAGCTCGGGCGACTGACCGAGTCTGTGACGGCATCCCACCGCGGTTCGCCCGAGCGACTATGCCGTGGCGATCAGCAAGATTGCGCGAGATTAAACCAACAATTTATCCGACCATCAATGGAATCGTATACCTAAGTGACGTGACCGACCAGCCCCTAGCGACGGCAGACTTGCAGATTCTCGAACCTGTCGGAGGGGAGAGATTTCGTCAGTCGATTTCTTGCGCACGCGCGCCGTGCGAAGTATACTTACCCAAGAAACCATTACCACCCGCGACAACGACCCGTTTAGCAGCCATCTTGCTGATTATATGATTTTATCCCACAGTAAGTGCGTGAGGTATGGTGTAGATAGAAGGATAAGAAGAGCAACGAGTGAATTTCAAGGTAACATGGTCGAATGGGAGTATTCGAAAAAGAGAGCTTGATCGCCGGAGCCAGAAGAATAGCTGCGGAGCTTCCGAGGAATTCCTTATCGTATCACCACCCACCGCTGTCACGTGCCGCTGCGGCGAAAGTCGTCGCGACAGGAACATGGTCACTTTGCATCCTACGTGCATCCATCATCGCAATTCAATTCCAACACATTTGTCCTCCGTTACAACTACGATTGCAAAGGAACGTTTCAGGCTCAAGCATGCCTTCTGCAACGGGTACAAAGCGCGTGAGGGTGAGCGTTCATTCTATCCCGTATATGCATCAGAGGAAGGCAGGACCAGGCCGCTGACAAGAAGAATCTCAAGGGTGTCTCTGTGTTTCGCCCTTTTGGTACGCCAGCATAAGCCTACTCTCATCCCTTGCTATGCTGTACTAACGCTCGATGATCCCAGTCTTCGGCAGCGAAGCCCAACCGTTCGATCCCGCGAAGAAACCTCCCCACGTGCCCGCCGACCACACCCACCAATGGCGCGTCTTCGTCAAAGGCGTCAACGGCGAAGACATCTCCTACTGGCTGAAGAAGGTCCAGTTCAAGCTGCACGAGACGTACGCGCAGAATGTCCGGACCATCGAACAGCCCCCCTTCGAGGTCACGGAGACCGGGTGGGGTGAATTCGAGATCCAGATCAAGCTCTACTTCGTGCCGGAATCCAACGAGAAACCCCAGACGCTGTGGCACAGCCTGAAGCTGCACCCATACGGCGACGATGCGGAGGGCAAGAAGGAACGCCGGGAGATGGTGACGAGTCAGAACTACGAGGAGGTGGTCTTCAACGAGCCGGTGGAGCAGTTCTACGAGCTCCTGACCGGAGGCCCCGCGACGGCCACGCAGCCGCAGAAGGGGAAGGGTGGGAAGAACACCAAGCAAACCCAGCAGCAGAAGAACGGCCGGACGGCGGAGATCCCGCTCAACAAGACCCCGGGCAACGAATACAGCAAAGCGGGCGAGGCCAGTGAGATGGACCGCCTGGCGGAGGCCAACAAGACGGTCGAACAGATGATCAAGCAGGAGAAGGAGAGGCTCATCGAGCGCGAGAAGCGACTCGCCGAGTTACGCGCGAGCGAGGGCGTCCCAGCCATTACCAAGAAACGCTAATAGGGGTCTCGGAAGTAAGGTCCTCGTGGCATCATGTCCCGTGAATCGCGTTTGACTATCGGCCAAGTGCCGGCTTCCTCATTATCCAGCCCCCCGAGCACATGACTAGCATCCAGGACTGTCACCACAAAATACAAGTTCTCTCCCGCATACGCCAGATGCAGAAGGCAGCAGGTGCCGCGCTAAGTGAACGACCAGGTTCAAGCTCCACTCTGCTATGGGAAAATCAAAGAATACCCTCAACGAAGACTCGGTTTGCGCTATGTCTATCTGACGCCTCCGAGAGACAGATGTTCCTGTTAGGCCTGCGTGCATCCTCGCAGCCCAACGATAGGTACCGAGTAACTCTTCCGCTCACGTCCGCATTGTCACCGTGGACTCATCTGCCAGAAACCGGACAACGCAGTCCAAGTCTGGCATTGAATGCCCGGGGGTAATCAACCTTGCTTCCTGGTATCACCCTAGTGCTAAGCAGCGTATAGAGGCGCTTGAGATGCCAGCCCTTAGCTTTTTTGTGAGACAATCAAAGATATCATCTTATTTCCGCAAGAAGAACGATAGTGGAATACTCATCAAACTGTCTGTTTCCTTATAGCCTGTTCACCAGAAATTTACCTGCACCAACATAAAAATAGCTCGCGGTGTTCCACGCGCTCACCCTCTTCCCATCCAGGTCAAGCTGTGAATTCTCATTGACGAGAATTCACTGCGGCCCTAGTCATTGTAGAAACCACGTTTGAGATTCACGAGCTATTAGCTGATTTGATCGAGGCAGCATCGAGCCTTCTCCATTGTCTGAGGGGCCGTTAACGCAATTCCTTCCCAAGGCAGGCCACTCTCCTCTTGCCACGATGACTGCTCTCGCAAAACAAAGGAACGCGATTGATGCTTTACACCGCCAGTTCTGATTGTCTTTTCCGTGGGCCGAAGAACACATCAGATTCCTAGATTGAAAGGACCTTGCCCGCCATCCCATGTTCTCACCTACATTCAATGCTGTCTTGTCCATCATAAGTTGATGAATGGAAGAGTATTCTCTATCAAGAGTATCGACAGTGGGATCATTCAAGACGATGGAGTGGACGACAGTAGAGCTGATAATATCATTTGTATGGAGGGACAGCCACGATATTTGACCACCTTGGCAGCGAATACGGCGAAGTCAGTGGGGTTCACTTGGTCCTTAATCTGCTCACAAAGACTCAAGTGTTGCTTGATGGGGATTCAAGCTGCAGCTTATGTGAAATCGAGGTCGGGCATCGTGTGCAAGAGCAGTGGTTCGCTGCAAGTGGGATCAATATAAGCCGAAAGAAGCCCAGGTGAGAAGAGGCCTTGAACATCCGCGTCTGCGGAGCGCAAGGCACCCGGAATCCCAGGGGCCACGATCCATGCACTACTGTCGATAGTCGAAGAATTGCTCGAAGCATCATTGCGGGAGGCTGGCGGTGCACTGCCACTGGCTTGCGGATAGCGAGACTCGATCCACGCCGTAAAGGTTTCCGACGCGGCGTTTCTGAGATAATGGTGAGCCCTGTTCGCTACTGACCACTTGTTTTTCAACGTCTTCAAACAGCCAAGAACGAGGATTATGCGGTTGCAGTGATGGTCCGAACACTCCGGCGGATGGATTCGACTGGTAGCAAGCTGCACCATGCCGCATAGCACAAGTCCAAACACGACAAACGGACTATACCTCTGAACACTTGGTCGCACAGACAGCAGATTCGACAGTTGCTTAGAGGCTTCTGTGGCTTTGATGTCGTGGACATGCCGGGTAAACGATGGCGAGAGACGAGATGGAATTACTGGACTGATGGGAACCCCTGTGTCTGGCAGAGCAGGTCGCAGATTGCTTCTCGGGAGATGCAGAAGCATGGCGGCATAATGAATTGTTGTATGTGCTTGAAAAAGCATTTCATCAATGCTGCCGTACATATCCACAATGTCCACTTTGGTTGATGGGAGGTGGTTTGTCCAGCTGACAAGCGCATTTTCCACAGCTTGCAGATGGTCCCTGTGTGTCTCGGGTAAACTGTTAAGCACGATGACACGAGCCAGAATGCACACTGCTTCGATACGATAACTGAAAGATGAATAGCGAGACTGGTCAGCCTCGCCATCGTCATCATCGTCAGCAGTGAAAATCCGTTTGTTGAATCCAGCAAGGGTTGGCGGGGGTGGGATGTTCGAATGGTTGGCATAGGCCGATTCTTCACAAGGCAGGGCAACGTCATATGGAACACTGCTGCATCGCAGGACGACCTTTTTCTGCAAAGCAGCCATATAGACGTCCACGGTGAAGAGCTCCCACCACGTCCTGCGCAGACTTTCTGCTTCAACGTCTCTTTCGTCGCATGATGTTGTCGCAAAGTCTCGTCGGTACATGCCCAGCTCCAAAGCGATGTCAACCGCAGTAGAGAACATGGTCTGGGCTTGCGGGCATTCTTCGCGGGCGCATAGCAGTATTGAGTAAAGGAGAAGGGCCTGAACCTTGCACGGAGTCCTCTCGCCGCTAGCGCTCAATTCAGCCAGTGTTGATTCAGATAGCGACGCACTCGATTGCGGCAAGAAATGGCTTCCTATCAGGACAACCACTTCGTGCAAATACTTCGGATATTTGCGCTCCTCATAAAGAGGAGCGGGGACCAAGATTGGGTGCGCAGAGTGAAAGTTCTCGTAATACAGGCGAACCAGCCGGGCGTCGGACTCAGTTGGGTCTTGAATACCCTCTGCTAGTTGGATCGGAAGTTCTTGCTGCCCCGAGGAGGAAGGCGATACCTCTGTCATATTGACACTAGAAGCATGGTGGGGGATGATCGTGCTTGGTGTAGCTAGATGCGAAGTCATTGGCTGCTGCTGTAGAAGACGAGGATAGCTGGGAGTTGTAGCTAGGGGCTGTTGTTGAGTCGCATCCCGAGTCTTCCGCCTTCCTCCCCGCCGTGAGGGTAAATACAGACAGTTGAATCGATTCTCAAGACAGCGGGAGCATGACGGTGTCTTTGCGTCGCATTTGAGGTGTTGCTTGCGACATTCCGTGCAGGCAAGTGGTGCTGGGCGGACCATGTTGAGATCCGCAAGGTGAGCAGTGACCTTACACAGAATCTTGTGCTCGGAGGCCACTGCATTTAAAGTAAACACAGGCGCCTACAGTATAGTCAGAGGCCCAGTGCATTTTCGGTGAATTGAAGGAAGCGAGGCGCATTTTAAGACAGTAATGCAAAGGCCGATGCTGAGCGGCGATTGAAGGAAAACGACACATTGCTTGGGTATGACTCAGCAGTCCTTATGCATGCACAAGGTTCGCTCTCGAAGTCTACTCTTAGACTCTCTCAGGATCTTAATTCGCCTACGCGTACTAGAGCTGCAAAACATAAAATCTATTTATTAATCTAGTTCATTATTCATTACGTGCACCGCACCATAGCCCATTCATGACAAAATCCTACGCCTGGTAGACATGACTTCTCCGCCCCGACTCTCGGTCATAGATATTGTACCCGAAGTCCGCTGCATTTGGAGGCGTATACACTGTTGCCAGTTAGTCAGAGCCTGTTACATTCAAGTGGTGAGGGGTGCATACAGTGGAGAGAGACAGCAAGTTGGTCACTGCGAGGATTCATGACCCGGTGCAGTCCAATCTGGTCACAGATGTAGGCTACTTCGTCGGTCCCATACGTTGTATCTTTCTTCACCCTCAACGGGGCCTCGTGGCTCTGTTCGGGATCGGGAGTATAATAAATTGCCTCATTCAGCTCGCCAGCGAGAATCTTCATGATGCAATGCGCATTTGCATGGTCGTGGATCGGCGATCCTTTCTCTGGGTTCCAGACTAGAACCAGCTGCCACCATGGTCAGCCAAATTACATTCAACGCCTCGCGACTGAGGCATAACTCACCAGATTTGCCTGTCCGTTGATATTGGCTACTAGGTTGCGTGTATAGTTCTTGCTTGGGTCGTTCCGTGCAAAACGAGACCAGTCTGCTCGGTTGGAGGCATATTTGGACATGAAAGCCATGAGGACACGGTGGTCAACTTGTTCGGTGCCAATGCCCCGCGAGCTGCCAAGGTACATTTTCAGGTCTTGAACCAGCTGGTCAAAGGTATACTCCCCATGCTGCAGCGACGTGATGCTGTCTTTTGTGACGGGAGACGAAGTGAAGTTCGAGGCAAGCAGGGTTGAAGACATGGTTCATTGGTCGATGGCAGTCAACGAGTCCAATTGAGAGAGAGTCGATCCGGTAAAATGAAGCTCCTGGCAGGTTTAAATGTAATATGGATAGTCAAGAATGACACTTGTTGTTGCAATGCACTGCGAGTTCTTATAAAGCTGCTTGATATAACTAATATTTGAGTCTACACAGAACCAGTCGGCGATTGAGCCAGCTGGTCGGCGATTGACAATTTGTCCAGTGGAACCGCCGACGCGTCAGCCAATAATGTGCTCTTTCCGCCCTGGCACGACGATAACCGACGATAACCAGCGCATACTTATCGACATCTCAATTCCTGGATATGAGTTACGCAGTCTCTCGTGGGGTTGCTGAACACTGGTCTCTTGCTTGGTCGCTAATCTCAATTCTTCCTGAAGGCCATGTCACTCTGTCACAAGTGGGGAAGAGGACATACTTCAGCTAAAAGCAACAGCAAATGAGACTCCAACCGCCATGGCACCCAGTAGTGTTGTTGCTCTGAGAAGGGCCTCATCTTCCACCAGTTCTATGACCGGCATCTGGAAAGAGGCCGTAGCCATGACAGAGCATTCCGACTCAGGCTTTTACAGGCTGATAGCTACCTATGCAGTAGTTCTCCCAAGGCGGGTCAGTCATGTCCATGTCGAGAAAGAAGGACAATATGACGAGGTTGACATTCGAGCAGTAGCATTTGACATGTCAGAGCCCCTGGATGAGACAGTATGAGATAGTCATCAGTGCCAGAGGATAATCCTATATCCCCAAATCGTGCTCTTCGCCTTAGCTGATTTCGCAAGGGCGAGTCTCAGCAACCTCGTTGTCAACAGCATGACGACGAGTAGATACCCAATGCGCGAGCGAAGAGCCAGTAGATAATTGTTGGATCATGTACAGTACTATACAGCTAGTAAAGGCCAGGACTTGTGCCTTTTGCGCGACATATCTACAACAAAAGGTCGTGCCGATGTCTCGTAAGACCAAAGCGACCCCCAGCTTCACTCCTTTTCTGTGCCTCCAATCACCTCTGTGAGATTAGGTAGATTTCCCATGCCCTACCAGATGACCAGATTTACCGAGTCGATATCCCTAGTAGTATACACAACAAGCATTGCACAAATGGCGACATAACATATCATGCCAATCATTATTATCCCACCGCATTACATAGGACTTGCAATTTCACTCGCAATCCCACAGCATTACCATCGCGCCCAGAAGCCCCGATGTATACGCAACACCAATCTGCTTTGTGATAGCTCACTGGCCGGGAATTGCGGTGAAACCGAATCGCCATATTGCCCTCGATGATGCGATAACAGATCGCCGACCGAGTATGGACTTCAATCGCCGAGTACGTTGTCCCCCTCACCAGCTCTTGGCCAGGGCGAATTCCAGTGCTGCATGTACTGTATATGCTTAAGGTTTCGGGTGATCTGTCCGGTCAAACGACCTCCCTAAGATTGAGTACAGTACAAAACAGTAAATGTTTGTTAGCCTTGTTATTGGAGAGATTCTCATGCCCGAAGGCAACAGGCCGTCATGCGCAAAGGAGAACATATTGGGGGGAAAATAATAGAAACTTGTTGAGTAGGGCTGCAAACAGACCTACACATTCGACTTGACCCAGTGTAGCTTGGTTGTGGTGTTGTGGGGAGCATAGGTACCAGCTGTCATACAGTAACTATATGCTCACTGGGGCAATCCAAGCTTCCCCTTCCCCACACACTCAGTTTAACCTTCTGACGGCCTTAGAGCTCCATGACCTAACCCACAATCACACCGGCCCAAATTCACTTTCAAGTTCCTCCTTCCAGAGAACTCACTCTGAGCTACGCGCACCTCTGCTTCCTCAAACTTATAACAATATAGTACACCAAGAAACGTTTCTTGGCTTATCTATAGAAGCCAGCCAAGCATCAGTCCAGCTGAAAGATTGCTACCATGACATCACGTCCGCATGATAATGATCAAGACTGCTGACTAAAAGATAACTAAGTTACCAGTACTTGTCCTCGCCCCGGGGCTATCAAGAAGGTCCACTCTTGCTGCATTATCATGGATCAAGGGATGAATAGTACTCCGTAGTGCCTCCCGTATCTGCCCGTCTCACCGACGGATGTCGCCGTGGTGGTGACCCGGAATCGCTTCCGCCTCCGCTTCCGGTCCGCCCAGTTCAGCCCCTGGCTCGTGAAGCAGGTCAGGGGGGGCTTTCACCAGATGACGGGACTGGAATGTTGGTCAAGATCGTCAGTCAGCATACATATTCTGGACCGAAAGCATGCTTTCGAATGACGTTACATTATCTGTCGGAGATTTCTTTCAGGTCCGTATTCGTGTTTCTTTTCGTCATTTTTTGGAGCAACACTATCTCTCACTCGGGTCGTACTGTGCTATATATGATTTTACCTCGTAAGAGAGGGGCTGATCTGTACCTCTGGTAGGGAGGTTGCAGCTTATCGCGCAGCTATAGATGACGATGCTGTGATGATCTGACAATAATTCATGAGTCTCCTTACTATATTTCCTCAAAACAACGCTCGAATGCAAGGCCCGGACAAGGTGTCTTGAAGGATGATGCCAGTAGTATGACTGCGACAATCGATAATTATATTATTAGAGTGAGAGACTAGGATGATTACGATTCGAAGTTAAGTGGATGAAAAGTCGCTGTTTATCGTGGCATTCAATTATGTACATGGATGATGGTGATGATGCTGTTCCCATATCTCAAACAAGCAAGTCACACAGTATACTAGGCAGTCGCCACACTCAATCTGAGTAGCAAGCTGCAGCCTTGGTAGTATCTCGTGTTTGCTTCAAGAATGGAATCAGGTCAGTCCCTCCCGTGCCATGGACTCCATCAGTAACTCCTTGTCCATTCCAGCTTTCCATGCGCGTGGACGTCCTGGTCGCCAGATTGATCTGCGAAGACGTCTCAATTGGGGGCGTAGCGCGCGCAGGCCCGATAATGTATCGTGTCACCATCTTGACATGCTTGTCTCGAAATCTTCCCAGTGACATCACGGCTCCGTTGTATGCATCCCGTACAGGCGAGTCAGCCTTGTGGCTCAGAGCATATGAGCGGATATTGGCTGTGCGAACCATCATCTCGAGGAAGCGGCTGTGAGGTCCTGGCATGTATTTGCGCATTTGCTAAGTCACCAGCATTAGTACCATGGCGCGGTCACCATAACCTGGAAGTTGGTACATACCTCTATGAATCCGGCCTTGGAAGCAACAGGGGGCTTCCCGGTAGAGCCCTTGGCTTCCCCCGTGGCATGGTGCACCACACCAAGGAATATATCGAATGTCTGGATCAGAGAGCTTTGCGCATTGCTGCCGCCACTGTGCTGACGCCATTCACCTTCACCATCTCCCATGTCGTAATACACGCCCCTCGGCAGCCCAGCTACTGCCATATTCTTGCTACCTGCTAGGAAGGGACGTAGTTGATGATAGAACACGGTTGGCTGACAGTGCTCATACATACGCTCCAACAACTCCCCAAGCTCCACAAGGCCTTCGGCCAGCTGGTCAAGATGTGCTTTTACCAGCACGGCGTCATCGACACTGGCGGCCTGGATGGCATTGGTCATCAGTGGGATAAGCTGTGCCCCCTTGGCCTCCAGTGCCACCGAAATCATAAAAAACCATTCCTCGTCTTTCGTGCCAGTGAACGAGTTGACAACCGATAGGTTATCGGGGTCAGTCAGGTCGGCGTTGTCTTCTGAGACTTTGAAGTTCCATAGGTTCAGAGCTGCGTACGTTGCACACGGTGGGAGTTCTAGATGTTTCGACACTTCAATAAAGGGCCGCGAGATGCAGGGTGGTAACACCTGAACACGATGGTGCCCCAATCAGCAACGGACCAAGCATGGGGAAATGATCAATAGCCACTGGGCATAAGGAAGGGTCTCTTACTTCTCGAGGTGCATCTCCACCCCAAATGTAGGCATGGGTAAGATAAGCAAGCACGACGTATGCTCTCCTCCATTCCGGCTCGGATGCTAGCTTGCTAGTGGTAAGAACGGGCAACTCATCCACCGACTGCCTTATCGCTAGCTCTTCGATACGAGTGGATAAGTTGGCGGCGATGCTTTCCCAGGGGGAGTAGTAGGGATCAGGGAGTTGTTGTAGAGGAGGACTATCGGGAAGGAAGCCATTTTGGAAGGAAAGAGCGTATTGCTCTAAGCAGATGCCCGGCGTGTTCAACATGATGAAAAGTGCAAAGTGATCTGAAGGACTGCAATGCTCTGGGATGGATGGTTCAATCAATGCGAGCAGTGCCAACAACAGGAATTATATAGTTATTCCAACAATGAATCGCGGCAGTGTCGGGGCCGGGGCGGGTTATAGTAGAGGTTCCTAAAGGATTGTGACACAGTATCGTACCACCATAAAGAAGATATCAACGATCTGCAGGGACATTCAAAAGAGATGGTGTCGATAACGTCAGTCGATTTTCAAATAAATGTCCGAAAAGCCATTATAGCTGAATGTTTTTATCAGCAGGAAACACGGATCTGGAGGCGGAAGCGGAACGGCATCCGTGCCGGGTCAAACCCACGGCAGTCATTGTTATAGTTGATTAGATTATAAATATGTGATACTTATCCAGGAATCCAAGGGGTGTCATTGGAATCTCTCCTCTGAGTTACTAGTCTAAATCCGCAAGTCATTATTCCTATATTTCTTTACTACCCACGACCTTCAACCACCACCATGTCCAAGCCGGTCTTCACGGAGGAGGCTGCGTCGCCTGAGTACGCAGCCCAACTCGACGCACAAGATCATCTTGCTGCTTTCAGAGACAAATTTATCATTCCCTCAAAAGCAAACATCGCTTCTAAGAAGCTTGCTAAGCCCGGTAAATACCAAAATCCCCATTCATGAATGGCCTTGATTCCTGATAGTTTGGGCAGGACTCTCCTCCGAGCCTTGCATCTACTTCTGCGGTAACTCTCTGGGGATTCAACCGAAAGCGACCGTCAACTTTGTCGAAGCACAGCTAGACACCTGGGCGTCGATTGGGGTTGGTGGCCATTTCACTGACCTCGAGGATTCCCCTCTGAAGCAATGGCAGTTGCTATCAGAGCAAGCTGCAGCTTCCATGAGCAAGATTGTTGGGGCCCAACCAGACGAAGTGGCAGCCATGGGAACCTTGACGACGAATCTTCACCTTCTCCTAGCCAGCTTCTACAAACCCACTGCCACCAAGCATAAAATTATCCTGGACTGGAAGGCATTCCCCAGTGATCACGTACGCAAATGCCCTCGGTGAAAAAACTTATGTTCTGAGTTGAGACTGACATCAGCATAGTATGCTATCGAATCTCAGATTGCCTGGCATGATCTGGACCCGAAACAGTCCATGGTATTGATCGGACCGGAGGAAGGTGAATACGAGATCTCCACCGAGAGAATTCTGTCCCTCATCGATGAAAACGCCGATGAAGCGGCTCTTCTTCTCCTCCCTGGTATCCAGTATTATACCGGACAGTTCTTTGACATCAAGAAGATCACTCATTACGCACACTCACGGAATCTCACCGTCGGATGGGATCTAGCTCATGCTTACGGCAACCTGGAGTTGAAGCTGCATGAGTGGAATGTGGATTTCGCGGCGTGGTGCACATACAAATATGGGAATGCGGGTCCCGGCGCGATGGGCGGACTTTTCGTGCACGAGAAGCATGGCCAAGTTGACTACTCTGAAGGAGAAGACGCTCCCAGATTTCGCCACCGTTTGACTGGCTGGTACGGCGGTGACCGGTCAGTGAGATTCAAGATGGACAACAGTAAGTCCCACCGCACTTTCCGGGTTCATGCATCTACAGAGTATTATGAACTGACGATCGGTTCACAGAATTCAAGCCCATCCCTGGCGCTGGGGGCTTCCAGATCTCAAACCCCTCGGCCATTGATCTCGCAGCTCTGTGTGCCGCGCTGTCCGTCTTCGATGGCACATCAATGGCAGAACTTCGCCAGAAGTCTGTTCGGCTGACTGCATACCTTGAATATCTCTTGCTCAAGGACTATGATGAAGAGTCGAGACCGTTTCGCATTATCACCCCGAAGAATCATGAGGCCAGAGGAGCGCAGCTGAGCCTGTTGCTGAAGCCCGGCTTGCTGCAAAACGTATCTCAAAGGCTGCAGGAAGCCGGTATTATCTGCGATAAACGGGAGCCGGACGTAGTGCGTGTGGCACCCGTCCCGCTGTACAACACTTTCAGTGAGGTATGGACATTTGTCCAGATTTTTAGAAAGGCACTGGAGGTTTGATCCAAGCTAGTAGTGTGAAAGAACAAAGCCAGGCGAGATGAATGTACAGTTACCACGATTAATGTATACGAGATTCATGATTCCAAGTTTTTCGAAAGCCCCTTGCGTTTCCTGCGTCGTATAGTGCCGATGATTCGTGATGGTTCGAGAAACCAAGTTTTGGGAACTCTCTCTTTAAGTAGGCAGTAACGAGCGTAAACTTCTCCTACTATGCAAAATGACATAGACAGTCTTTGGCATGTAGCTAGGTTTCAGAGGTGACCGAAACCATCTCTGCCATCACCCCTCGGCAAAAAGTCTTGAGCTTGAGAGAAGAAATTCGCGGCCAAGATCGAGAATTCGTCATTCATTGGGTCAGGTGATCGAGATGAGCCCATGGACCCCATTGGATCTTGTCCGCCTACAAGGAGCGAAGTAGGCAGGTTAAATTGTGAGCTTGGTGATGACGCTGACGTGTGGTGAGAGTTGAGGCGAAATGGCTCAGGCAAGGGAGATGTTTGGGAAACTTCAGCCGCGATTGTAGGAGGCTCAGAGTACAAAGAGTCCCCGAACATGCGACGAGCTGAGTCGGTGTCACTATTGGAGGAGTATTCGAGGATCTCCCAGAACCGGGACAGGTCTATGAGGAGGTATTTACTCTGTGAGCCTGACGCCGGCTGATAAGATGCAGACACAGCATCCTCCAGCTTCTGTAGCCTGTCCGCCTAAACACACAATTTTGTGTCAGCTCATGCACAGAGATAGCGGATGGGCGCGTCAGCTTACCAATCGTGCCATATGAGGCCATTTTTGTCCCAGCTTCTGCACAAACCTGACACACCTGTAGAAACGGTCCCGCTTCTCATCACGAATAGCAGCATTCTCGGTAAAACTAAGCTGCAGTTCAATCGTAGCTACCACAGCAGCGCTATATCCTAGGAACGGGTCGGAGATCGTAAAGCACCGCTCTTCAAAGAAGTTAATGAAATGTATGATCCATGTTGTATGAGATGAAATGAGATCCGAGCTATGCTGGAGAAATATCTCAGGAATGGTACTTCGAAAGTTCCTCAGACTGAGCGAAAGGAGCAGCGGATGATTGACCAGGCATAGTATTGTATGGTATAAGAATTGGTTCAATAACCACGGACCCCAGTAGTCTCTTCTTGCCTGAAGCTCTTCCAGTGTCCTTTCATTAAGACTAGCTGGTTTGAACCTGTGAATGTAGGGCATCTGAGTCTCGAGGTCCATTTGAGCAGCCAAAATCTCCGAGTAGTCTGATTCGGACGACCAAGGAGGCAATTTCCCAGGTTTCCCATGGCGCCGGACATACTTGGCAGTTTTTGCAAATACACCACTGAGCATTATCATGTACGCGAGGATACCCTGGTCATGCATTCCTGATGACCGAGTTTCATCGGCCGCATCAATCAAAGAGTTCGGTGGTGGAGGCCTACTTGGACTCTCGGGGAAAGGGGGGAAGCTTCCCTCCGGAGAATCTAAGTTTTCAACGTCAACGCCATGAAGACGTTTTAGCAGATAGATGCTCCAGAAGCAACGCCGACGTTCTTCACGTTCACGTGTTAAGGAGAACTGTGACGAATGCGATTCCGAGCCCAGATTGGCAGACTGCGCCAGGTTCATTGCCAAGCTACAATGAATACTTGAGCGATGTGTATTTCCGTCTGTTTCAGTTAATCAAAAGTATGTCAGACATAGATGTACCACCTACTGGTAAAGTCAACAAGGCTTAGTAGGCACAAGCTTTGGAGTGTGGAAAGTTCAACTGGTCCTTCCGAAACCCTTTTCATGACCAGGCCTCTAGCAACTTCCGTATAGCCATTGATGAGAGACGGGAGTTCATCAGGACTTGACGCTTCGTCATCTGAAAACCGTACACTTAAGGCTAGGATGGCGTAGATTATCTCTGGATCACGAGTTGGCAGACTTCTCAGAAAGCTGTCCCTGTGAAATAATGGGAGAGGCTGCGAGTCGCAGTATTGCAGATACAAGTCTGCTATTGACAATACCTTCTCCCATCTGGGTAGCGGAGTGAGTGCACTCGGTGCTGAATAATTCAATGAAGGGGTCAGGGAAACCAGTCCGGTAGTTGCTACATTCTGTCGAGCGCGACTCTGTGCGTTTCGCCTAGCGACAAATCATTAGTCACTGGTGCAATAACAGTGAGAACGTGACGTCTTACTCCAGTGTGTCGAGGAACTCGCTCATCTTCGCTTCCCAGCTTCCCAGACGATCTTCCTACACGTAGCAAAATTAGACACAACCAATAGCCAAGGCATCCTTTCGGGATTACCAATATCTGTGAGATCCTGGTCTCCGAGGTGGAGATGCCAGAAATCGATTCTCCTGAATAGCTAAGACCATTGGTCAATGGCCTTCGGTGCTCTCCAGCATATGTGCATGTTTGATTTAACCGCGCACATAGAGAGCAAAGTGGCTGTTCCCCAGGACATTTTGCCTTTTTCCGCCTGGAAAGAATCAATCATTAATGTGTCATATAGCGCGATGCCGGGCAGTCAGTCCGGCTTACCTGCACGGCTCACAGGCTTGCCGCACTCGCTTAGCGGGCCGTTCAGGAGTAGCGGACTCCAAATCCATCTCAGCGGAATATTTATGTCGGGTTCTCTCCACAAGTCTCGACTTTGAAATGTGTTCTGTATTTCCAGTGGGCGTTGAACAACAGCTCCCCCGAAGTGGGAAGTAGCTTAACGCAGGAAGATTAGTTCCCTGCGGAAGCCTCCCGAAAGTTGTGAATATCAGAAAAAAGGCACATTCTACATCGGTCGAGTACTTGTGTTGACTGCAATGGCAAGGGCAAGAGCTCAAACTAAAAAGCTTCGGATGCCACAAGGTCGTAGTCAGGAACACTATCAACAACAGTGAGGTATAACCAGTGAGTGCTTGCTTGCATGTGGACGGGATAAACTGCACGTGGATGACTAATCAGCGGCCTAGTCAATAAGGTAACTTGGTTGAATTCGCTTAACAAGGCTATATGACAAACCAGTTATGTAGTTAACCATGACTGAACACGAGGATGTAGATATTAGAGAACTTATAGCACGCGTAGAGGAATCAGCTGAAGGCTGGAGTGTGCATTGGCGTTGATGTTACGAGAGGTAGGTCGCTATGCTAATTCTAACCAATCATGAGGTGTTCATTTGACGTAGTCTCCATCCTAATCGTCATATGGCATGATGAGAGAGGCCCTTCGATCAAGACACAGCGCTCAGACTCACAGTCGGGGTGTTGACCGATTTCAGGTGGCATAAGGTGCTGGTATGAAACCCTGCTAGTTGCCGCAAGCAGTAGTCGCATACTAATAACATGATACACATTCTCATCTTTAGGTGGAAAATAACCTAGGTGCTTCGCATGTCCTGTCCTCATAATGAAACTCCAAAATTGCACGGTACCATAATAGTGTGGATGTTCAAGCCGAAACAGGAAAGTCGAGGAAAGATTTCACACATTGACGCCCTAGCTTAATTTATGTACAACGTCGATAATCCCAGTCTTCCTCTCAGATGAACCGTTACAGAAACCCAGACATACCGCCAATTGGAGTCAGGGAATGTCAATCGCGAGACGCTGCGGGATCATACTTGGCATGGCAAAGTATTAGGCGTTTACTCCTTACCGAACCAGGTCTTGTGGCCCTGTTGTCAATGTTAGTAACTGACTCTGCAGGAGAAGGAAGCATTCAAGTGTAGCGTAGACGTGGGCAGCACTTACGAAGACCATGCGGCCCATGGCATAGGTGGTAGCTGAAGAGACGTTAGTATAGACAACTCGATTGCGCTAGAATGGATATTGCTCACCAATGCCGAGACCATAGACGGAGATGAGGTAAGGGTACATAATGTAGTTGCTGCGCTCGGTCTGTGGGTTGAAAGGAGAATGATGGTTAGACCTTCCATGCTACCATGTAATCATTCCAGACCGACTAACCTTGTACCACTGACGCTTGCCGTCGTGCTTCTGGAAGAGACGCTGGTAATAGGGGACACGGTTCTCACGGAACACGAATCTATGGAGAAATTCAACATATGTCAGTCATCTGGAAGTCAATTGGGGTATGAGCAGTGGTCAAAGCCCGGTCAATGGTGCGCAGGCCGAGCTGACGAACGAGTTATGAATCGGGAGCGCAGAGGCCGTGCAAGGGGATGAAGATCAAGAAAAATTAGTAGAGGCTTACCCAGCCATGCGAGGAGCGGTGCGGAACATTTTGGCGGTTATGCGAATGCGACAATAACGAGATTTTCTAGAGAATGAAGACGAGAATGGCAGCTAGAAGATTAGCAGTAACAATGATCAGTCGATGTCGTGAAGTGTGGACCCGAGCATATCCTGGTCACGTGGCTACCCTCACTCTTCCGCCTTTAGGATGCAAGGCTTAATAAGTTCACGTGATGATGCAGTACCAAAGCTAACTCAACTAGGTATGGCTCAACAGGCTGGTCTCCCCCAGAAAAGTAGTTTCCGCGGAATCCAAGTGCGCAGCACTCGAGCTCAATCATTCACCACCAATTTTCACATGTGCAAGAGATTTTCCGTGCCTTTAGGGAGCGAATGAGGAGGATGGTCAGATCTTTCGTTCTCCTCTCTTCCTTTTCGTCTCAAGACTCATGCGCCCGGCTCTTCTTCGATTACTGAAGAGACCGTCAGCTCTTTCGGTTCTCGACTCCCTGATCTCAGCACCCGTCGGGGTGGAACAATTGGAGCTTAGACGCGATCAAAGATGTCTGCGATGTCTATCGAGGAGTACCCGACGAGAACATTACGAATCCACTATCAACCCAGAACAAACATCATGCAGCGAATCTCTCTCTCCCTCGACAAGGCGAAAATTGAGCTTTCAGGTCCACAAGATCAAAACACCGAAGGCGCAAGCAGAAGACAGTGTTGAACACGGTGAAAGCTCTCCCGACAAACAGAAGTACTTATCGCGAATTCGAATACAAACAGAGAAGCTGGAATTCGAGTCAGATATTGGACATGCACGCGACATTGGGACTCGTCTGGTGGATGACCCACGTCACCGAAACGATTTCAGTCTCTGGGTAGAGCTATTACGCTACCGTCAACGGCACTATGGAGAGCAAGGAACAATGGTCATTTGGGAGGCTTTGACTGATCGCGTGGATGACGTACAACTCCCAGTGGACGGGGACTTGGCCGATTTTCTCTGGCAGAGCTTTGTCGACCTCGGTTTCAAGCGAGAGATTGTGATGGTTGAGGTGGCTGAATATGCGCGAGAACTCTGGAGTAAGACTGGGAACCGATGGCCCAAGCTCTACGAACGAATTGTCGGCGGGTTCATCGAACGCGGCCTGATTGACCGGGCTGAGGAATGGCATCGAAAACTCCGGGATCCACATCTAGCAAGTCCGAATGACATTTTACATGTTCTGAGACCGGACGTCTCTGCTCGCCACTCTAATAATACCGTTGTGAGTATAAACAAGGCTAAAGACCAAGGCCAAGGCTTCCTACCAAGCCTAGTGGCATTTCGCAATATCTGCCGGTCGATACAAGGTCACCAGATATACGTTCCCACCATGTCTGCCCTCCTTCAGAACGACCTTCCGGCTCATGAGCTGGTACTCATGCATCTATTCTTAGTGGGTAAGGGCGATCATCCTCGCTCCTACAAAGAGATAGAGCCATTGATCCACGGTGCGGAAAAGCGTGGCCTACAATCATTCCGGCAGAAGCTCCGAGCTTATGTCGACCGTCAATTCCCCAGTGACGTTGAAGACATTCAAAACAAAGACTCTGAAATTGAGAACTCTGAGCATAGACTGCCGGCGGACCCCGGCGAAAGAGAGTTCTTGCATGACGAAAAGCCCATCAAGGACGACCTTGGCGCGCGCATATTCGCTACGGACGCTTTGAAATTTGAACTCATTCTCTCTGGCTTCAAGATGTTTGGTGCTACTTCTATTGGACCACAATCTTTACGAGAAATGGCAGTGAGAGCCCATGGCAGTCGCGATCTACTGGAAAGGCTTCGGCTTCTGCAGGAAGCAGGTATTTCCATCGGGAACTCGATCTTTTCTCGCCTTGTCCGCAAGCTAGCCACAGAAAATCGTGGTATTGTTCTGGCAGATCTACTTCGAAGTGATCAACATCCCGACATGCTGGAGGATACGCGTGTTCAAGAATCTCTTTTGTTGTCTCACTACCTTAGTCAGGATTGGCGTCGCTACAACCTGACCCTAGCCATCCTTAGCGAAATAGCCGATGAAGGACCAAACATGTTCAACATCCATTTTCGAAAACATCTGAGAGCGGGCGAGTGGGAGTTGGCATCGAAAGTGGTCGATGAACTAGCTTTGCGCGGAGAGCCCCTCACGAAGACAAGCATCGACCTAATGATCAAGCATGTCCTCACGCCACGACGGCCTGGGTCCGGACCGATACGAGCGCCTGACCGGCCACCGCAAACCGAAGTGGCGTTCGTCTTCCGTGTTCTACACCGCACCATTCCATTGGGGTCAACTGTATCTGCCAGGCTCTGGATTGAGTTGATCAAACGACTGGGCCAGACAGATTCCTGGGTTGAGCTTCGGAGGTGTTGTTTTTGGCTAGCACGCCATTATTCTTTCACTGGGCCGCAGAAGGATACACCTCTGGACATCATATCAAAATCAAGCGCGGCACCACATAGTCATACTTCTCCAGTTTCGGAACAGAATGCTGACATGCTCCGGACAATATTCAACCGCCACGTCCAGGAAGCCCTCGTGCATTGGGGGTTTCGAAAGCGAGTCTCTCCGAACATCCATCGCTACCACGCGGCCAATGATCCGATTCCATGGGTACGGGGCCTCATTCTTCTGCGTGAGCTGGAGCGTAGCGGTGTTGAGCTTCAGGTAAGCTGCATCAGCCGCGCGTGTCGGCAACGGCTTGCTATTGTCTTTGGACGAAACCGGCGGTCTAGCCGCCCCATGAACCGCATGTTGCGACGAGAAAACCCTTATACTCTTGAGAAGGTACTTGGGGATATCAGCCGCGTCTGGGGAGAGCCATCCTTGTTTGCAGGCCGAGAGCACATTGATGTGTTCCGACTAATTAACCCACCGAGTTCCAAGATGTCGTACCGCAGGGCACGTAAAACCCTCTGGAGGGAGCAAAAACTGCGGGGGCCGGCTTTCATCCAGAGCCGGTCATAATGTACAACAGACAGTGTATATAGAATCCAATAGACCGAATATGTCACATGTCTAGAGCCTAAGGCTAGACAGAGCTTGAAACTTGGATGCCTTAAAAAGGGGGGTGTGGCACGTGAAGCGACCGGGGCAACGTAAGATCCCAAACAGAACCAAACAAACCCAACAAAGAAAGCGAAGATGGGGATGGATGGCGCGTCCGACCGGGCTGAGCCACTGTTGTGCTAAGAATAGGCGGCCACAACTTGCCGTTTGTTCTCCATCTTTTCATGGCTTCCCATGCTACCCATGACATCCCAACTGCTGTATGGCCTGCCTAGACCTTCTGGCCCACTGTCAATAAGCAGATCGACGCAAGATTCTAAACTCTCTTGACCCGTGCTCTGGTTGACTTACCACATCCACGCCCCTGTCGTAGCTTGCTCATTATCCCTCTTTTTCTCTTCTAACCTGTCAGTCAATAAATAAATGCGAGCCTCTTCTATTGTTCCGCAAGTGGGGTCATTGTTTCTTCTGGCTGCATCATTCCTATACATATCTACTCTCATCTTTAGCATTGAATTGTGACGGTTGTCTGACCGTCGATATCTGATTTTGTTATCCCTACGCTCCTCCATCAAATCTATAGTTATCGTCCTATTCTCCTAGGTCATTTTGCAGCGATTTCCCTGCATATCTCTCCCCTTACACCTACATACCATATCGCCCGAGAGTCGTCTGCACAACCACAATGCGAGGACTGGGAATTCTGGCCCTCGCCCCTCTAGCGGCTGCAAAAGCTCTGCATTCGCGACAGACCGCATGCAACAATTCACCGTCACTGTGCTCCAAATCCTATGGTGAGATTACTCATCTAGGCGCACATGATAGTCCGTTTCTCCGGGATGCATCGACAGATTACTCAACCTTTGGAGATCAGTGAGTAGTTTCAGAACCACATACGCTACTCAAGCTTGGACTGACTGACAGTCTCGCAGATATTACAACACGACCCTACAACTTGAGGCGGGCGTACGTCTCGTAACGGCGCAAGTGCACAAGTCAGATTCGGAGTGGCACTTGTGTCATACCAACTGTGACTATCTAGATGCAGGCAAGTTAAGCACATGGCTATCGGAGATCAAAACATGGTTGGACTCCAACCCCAATGATGGTATGTCGCGCACCTGCCGTTGAACTTATCGATCAGTGACAAGGCAGAAGAGCTGATATTTTATGGTTGCATAGTGGTCACGGTCCTGCTTGTCAACTCGGACGATGCAACAGCATCGGATCTTCACTCGGAGTATGAGACAGCGGGTATTGGGAACTACACCTACACACCTACCTCACAGACCTCCGCGCCCAGCTCCTGGCCCACGCTACAGGAACTGATCAACGACGGTACTCGGTTGTTGTCATTTGTGGCATCGCTAGACGCCTCGAACAATACGGTGGCTCCATACCTGATGGATGAGTTCACTTACCTTTGGGAGAACCCCTACGATGTGACCTCGGCGTCAAATTTCTCTTGTACACCCGACCGTCCAACGACCGTTAAAAATGACTTGTCTGCTGCACTTTCTTCGAACCGGCTTCCCTTTATGAATCACTTTCTTTACCAGACCACCATTCTCGACATTGAGTACCCAAATGTCAGCTATGTGGGCACGACCAATGCCCCTTCCGGCGGCACGGGCAATCTCGGCGATACTGCGAAGAAATGTAAGAGTGACTACAACGGCCGTCAACCGACATTTATCCTGGTGGACTTCTTCAACAAGGGACCCGCCATTTCAACTGTGGACAGTCTGAACAATGTCACCGACGCCACCGGACGCGCCAACCTCACATCGACTACTCAAACGAGCTCCGCCTCCACGTACTCAAATGTGTTCAAGGGACTGGTAGAAACGGTTCAAAAGGCAATGGACGGGGCGAATCCCAGCATGGGAGAATGGATCTGGGCCGGCGGGGACTGGGGCAGCTTGTTGGGCGGTGGGATTGCTCTCTAAGTCTGTCGCGCGCTTCTTCCCCTCTGCCTTCTTCTTCGGTTGTCTTTTCCATTCTTTGTCCTTGCGCATTAGCAGCATTGCAGTTCTCTCATTGGCATGCATAAGTTCAAGCTCGGCGCTCCTCAATCTTTGTGATATCTGGATGATTTTCATGACGCTCCTTCGCTTTATGATAGTTGACATTTTACTGCACATAGAGACGGCGTTCTTTGTGAGGGATCTTAACGACTTGTCATTCCTTGTACTTATATATATGAGAATACCTTCCTTATCCATCCATCGGTATCTTCCATGCCCCGGCAGGTGCAGGCAATTTGCCGGTCGTAAATCAGATTCAGCTCGACCACCAATGCCTTTACAACCGATGCTCACTCCTTCCCAAGCAAGGAGCGGACCTTGTTCACCTTATCCTCAAACGACTGCTCCTTGTCGGTTCTGCGCCAGGGAGACGTGATACATTAGCCAACGTCATCTAATTGGGCATCAACTACTGGGAGGCACTCCTAGTCGAAGATCCGATGTCATAGGGGAAATCGAAGACCGTAGTGACTGTAACCAGCCGGGGAATAGGAGTTGGAGGGGAAAGGGTGTCTACCTTGATCCCACCCGAATATCCGTCTGAATCCTCACGATGCCCTGCTGGTGCAGGATCGTATGCGCTTGGCCAATGACCTGATGAACTTTGTCCCAAGGTCCCTCTGTTGATGTCGCAAATCCCCGCAGAGGGAGCACGCAGTCAGCCAAGAACGGGGGGGGATGATTACGTGCACGAGTCGGAACGACAAGAAAGCATTGGGAATTTTCCCGATGGGGAGGCAACAGTTGCGACTGACTCACCAAGGGTTGTCCCAGCGGAGTGCATGACAAACTTGAGGCCCGATTTTTCGACCAGGCGTTGGACATCAGCGATTTGGGCGGACACGGATGGGGACGAGGTGCCAATCTGCGCGGATAGGTTAGTGGACTGAGGGAAAGTTCGTTCGTTCAATAGAGCTTGCAGCTTGGGGGTTCAGGCTCGAGGGGGGTCCACTCCATATGGCGTTGGCAGGATAGCGTGGAATGGAATGGGTGAATGGGTGGACGGATGGATGGATGGATATGCATGAAGCAGTCGGGGGTCGTCCCGACATATCATGGATTGAGGCATGTCATGGATGGATGCATGGAGATAAGCACTACTTGTTGGGGATACCTTGTCGATGGTGACGGAAGACAGCCTGCTATTTCGGGGCACTGGCATAGCAGAGTTGATGCGACAAAAGGTAGTCTGTACTTACAGGAATCAAGCAGAAGTCCGCCGTGCAATGCGGGGGAGTCGGGATGGATGCGATATCGTCCATTTTCAGATTCACCTGCTGTTGAAGCTTCACGGAAGATGCACAATTATCTGGTGCAAGCCTAAAAAATCTTTCAGAAGCCTAAACTCGATTTCCAGTAAGCGTGGACGATGATGAGACCTCTGTTGTGGACTGACAGCAGCAGTTGTTGTTGTTATTGTTTTTCTTGCGCTGTTCTTCCCTCGGCGCGGGGCCGAATAGCGGAGGGGCAATTGGGGAGGAGGGGTGGGAACATTTCCCACGTTTTCAACTTCTCCCCGGTCCATTCGTTGCCATTAATATTGACCTTGACAATAAATACTACCTCATCAGTCACCACGGAGTACATCGCTAACTGACCCCTTCGGATATTCTCTCTTCTAGACCCCATGGATACAGTTCTTAGTCTCACCCGGTTCTAGCATTGTACATACATATACACAAGACGGGTATCGCTAGCCATGCACCGCTCTGTGGGCTGCCGCGAACAACTCATCAAAACCTCGTTTCCCACTCCGGGGGCAGTCGATAATCATACGGTGCATCATTTACTAGCTGTATCTGTCCAAATTGAACACTTCTGGTCGGAATTCACGGACTCGACAGGCTAGACTAGCAATCCTTCCTTTGTGGGCTTTGACAAGTGTCTCTCTTACTTCGCCCGTCATCTTGTCCTTCCCCCTGGACTGTACGCTCGACTACCAAATTGAGAGCCATCAAGTCTAACTATGATTGGTATCGTTGGATATGCAATGAACTATCCTGGGGCCGATACCAATGCCGAACGGGGCGACTATCCGGGAGACAAGAAGGCAATCAAAAGCAAAAGTGACAGGAAGAAATCTCAATGGAGCTGCATGGAGAGTAAGGAATCGAAGCAAACAAGTTAGTCGAATTGCTGATTGGCGAAGGCCTTTTGAGGCTTGTTAAGAAGGGAAGACGTCTCGAATATGTCTCCAGGGGGAGTTGCGATTCCAGCATCAATAAATGATGCCTCCAAAATCGGTCCACTGAACTTTCATATGAACCACGGTTCACCTCGCGTCTCTAAATCCTCACCAACTCCTTCCTTCGGTCGCCTCGTACCCCCACTGCACTGTTGAGAACATCTCGTGGGCTATAACTAGCACTTTCCCTTCAATTTTCTTCTCTTCTCCTCTCTCTTTCTATGATTTAGTTAATTCTGGTGGTTTTGCCTACTCCACTCGGGTGTGACGCAGCCTCGTTGGCCGTCCGTTCCAATCGACCATTCCTCCACTAGCTCAGCCCGATGGATCAACGTTAGCCGTCCCTGGAGTATATTGCTCGCATGAGTTAGCAGAGCGAGGCAGGTTTCGTGACATTGTCGACCAGTCTATTGAATACGAATTACCTCCCGCTATCCTTATTTGACCGCCTATTGCCTGCTATTGTGCAGCGACCAAGGCAGCACGGGTTTTCTACCGACGTCTGTGTGCCCGACGCCCTGCTCTCAGCTGGGTTTATACCGGTGCTGTGATAGTCCAGCATCTCCTCTCCTCGAAACTAGTTTCTTCTATCATCATTCCCAAGTATTGGTGGCCGAGTCGCGCCAGGTGTCAGCAGATCCGCACTCCCTGAATTCAACCTCTCAGGGCTGATCAAGGAATTGCAGGCTTAGTGTTTCCGCCTAAGAACAGGAAGTCCGACCGCCACGGTGGCTGATGCGATTCAAATCCCTGCACAAGGCCCAGGTCCTAGATCTACAAAGTACCCAAGTAATTGTTGCCCTTGCACTAAACGAGATCGGGCTGGGGGCTTTCCTATCAATATTTGGAGTGGCTCGTTCCTGCACGGACGAATCAACGAGCAGAGGCTTACTTCCAAGGCAAGATCACCTGAGCCTGGCTTGAAGCGATCAGATCTCATTTTCAGCAGCTTATTCTCCATCGCCTGCAAATCAATTGGCTGGGTGTAACGGTAACGAGGCTCAGTACTGCCACAAGGACGTGAGAGCTTGGGAAAAAGCGATTATTGCACTAGTTCATAGATCAGCTACTCCTGTCTGCCCACGTTATTTGACTTCTGCTGGGCTGAACATTCGTACAGCAGGGTTTGGGAAGATCTCTTGTCCTTTTTGAGAGATCTGCATTTTCATACATCGCAGCCTACTCCTCATGAACCTTAACTGCTACATATCTTCGCCTGCGCCTTCCGGACTTTTTCTTCCTCGAAGGAACTGCTTCGACCACGTGACTCTATACATCACGTTGCAGAACATTCCCCCTTGGCCTTTCGCTATCATCTTAAACTGCGTTGTAGGAAATCCGAGGTTGCTTTTGACTTTATGATATGAGTTCCTGCTTTATTCATCATCCTTGACCACATATTCCGTGAGCCCTCGACAAATGACGAAGCCTAATATGCTAGAGCTCCCGGTAGGGGCCGAGCTTGTCTATCTTGCCGAAGGGGGCGCAAACATCATCTATCGCATCCTCTTTCCCACCAAAAATGTGAAGGCGCGAAGTCATCGAGAAATGCCGGTGACTGTGTCTTCCAGTCTGCCATCGGGTGTAACGGATCGTTATAGTATACCCGCCAACTTCAAGGGAAAGCTGCTCCGTCTTCGGAAAGACACGAGCTCTGGAATCTCCTATCAAGAGATTGCACGAAACTTCGACCAATGCATTCGACCTCTGTTCAAACCAGAAGAGCTCGTCGATCAGGAACTTGTCTATCTTCCCAGATGTCTGGTCCAACTATGCAATGAACAGCTTCTAGCGGCGGAGCAAGCCGGGCAGCGTCCCAAAAGACGACAAGGCGTATATCTCTCTACGACAGAGCCATTCGGGCTTCTGATAACTGACATGACCACATTCGCTAGTCCTGGGACCACGTTATCAGAGCTGAAGCCCAAGTGGCTTGCGCAATCTCCGTCCGCCCCAGCTAACTCTCGGCGGTGCCGGACATGCGCACTCCGCGAAATGAAGAATCACAAGGCGCACAAGATTGGCAAATCTGAAGAAACATCATTCTGTCCGCTGGACTTGGTGAGTGACAGATTCGAGAATGTTCTCCGAGCGGCCCGGTTCGTCAAGGGATGCAAGGATCAGGCCCGTCTGGCAAAGGTACTCTATCGCAATAGTACTCTGCAGAGACTCCTAGCTCATCAGAAGAGTATGTGCGATGTGGGGCTCCATGGTCCTCCTGTCACCTCTGTCGAAAGCTCGCTCGGGATGACTCTCCGTGACTGTACAATGTTTATCAGGGTGTGTTTTTCTGCTTTTTCCTGACTGGAATGCATCACCCACTAAGCTAATTCTCAATGCAGATACCGAAAGATGAGACCAGTCGGGTCGAAATACGCCTCGGAGACCTAGATCTCAAAACTGGGGCGGGAGGCAAGGCGAAGTACTGGCTTGACTTGGAACATCGCCTGAATGATGAAGGCTGGTACGTGGGAGCGAGGAGCAGTGTATCTGAGAATGAGTGTGCACTACAAGGCCCACGCAATCACTCTCAACCGTCGATATAAGCTGTACAGCCATTGTTTGGTCGAACTCCATCCACCACGATTCCAGGTCTATGTCAGCACCGGGCTGGGGCTTGTAGCACCCAGTCTACAGAGCGATACATCATCCCATCCTCAACTACCTACAACTTACAACGACGAAACAGCCTTTCTCCGCCATCACGGGGCAGATACCGTTCTCTTGACCAGCCTCTACAGAAGTTCTCGGTTTCCAAGGCAACTAGGGCGCTGAATCTAGGCCTGGTGTGTTTATGTTCGATGCTAAGCATGTAATGGCGTTCTTTGCGTGTACACTAATCAATCAGACACATTTCAGATTGCTGTTTAGTCTAATTATGATAAGAAATACCTCATTCTCTGGTCGAAATGGCTCCTATCTGTCGCACATATCGAATAGATGCAGCTATGAATCCCAGCCCATTGGATAGTTTGCAGCCATGGCCATTTCCAAGAGAAACCAGCCATCAGGTTCCCAGACTTCAAACTACCGCGGAGAAGGATATCATGATGTCATGCTACGCCCAAGGATATTGGATTTCAACAGTGATAGCTACAGGCTTTTGTGATTCCAACAACCAACCATAGAGCGGACCACCGCACATCAGAGTTTCTGGTATAGAGCTTCTATCCCCACGCAACACAATCGGTTTGGATCAAGCTTCCGCAAGATACCTCACCAGCGGAGCGGCCAACACCAATAATCTCCGAGAGTGTATAACTTCCGCGATCCCGTCAAACTCTGATCCCTCCCTAACTACATGCATAACCGCAAACAACCATGTCCGATCTCACCCTGACGTCACGATCTGAACTGCCTCTACTGGTCCGTTGACAGCAGCACCACCATAGCCGCAAATTCATTTTAGCCACTCGGCGCTTCATAAAGCGCGTACTTGTCGATCGTCCCCTCTGTCTCGGGATTATTCTCCAGCCCTCTGTGCCTTAATCTCTCCTAGATCATCCTGCGCTTCTGCACGGCACTAGTACTCGTCTCATACAATTTTCCCAGCATTTAGCGATATACATAAAGATACATACACATACACGCATACCTAAAGTTATACATACAGTACACCCATACAACCATACACCCATACATCTGTTATACATCCACCTCATAGAATCCACAAAGATGGCTGGCGTCGCGGCGAAGATCAAACAGTCCTTCCAGCATGCCTTAAAACCATTCCGCTCTATCAGATGGCGTGGCTTGATGGCGGCCAAGGACGATGATCTCGACGCGCAGTACAACTTCCCTTCCGGACGGAGGGCCGGTCAGGGGTCGGGGTCCAGATAGCGTCAATTCAGATCGGGCCCAGCCCAGTCAAGTGAGTTCCAATGCAGTATGCTTTTCATGGAGGCCACTGCTGACAGACGTTTCTTGCAGTTCAGCGAAATTTCATATATCCCATCGAGATCAATCGAAAGTTCCGAGTCGTTTCCTGTGACACTTCTTACTGTACATTAAAAAGTTTATAGAGCTAGATGTCTAGAATATAAAACTACGACTACCGATTCCAGTGCTTCCGGTGCGATAATATGATTCGACCGTGCAAGACACCCCCCAGGTGCGCCCTGGTCTGCTGGTGAGATGTGAGTTCGCGTTATATGTGTCTTTGAAATACTCAGGTGAGAATATATATAGGAGGGAGAGTTATCAAGAGCCAACTGTAACATGTATTGGAACAATTACCTCTATTAAAAACAGAGGGCTGAAACATAAAAATTTCATCCGGAGACAGTCCGATATCCTGTTTCCCTGAAGGCGCAACCTCACCGGCTCTAATCCTCTAAGACTTTCCTCTCGGCTCCAGACATTCCCACTGTGATGTGCCTTATTATTGAACCAAATACCGAACATAGCATGAAGACTGAGACATGCATTACGAAAATAAACTATGTAAAGAAATGCAGCCAAGGGGGTGTCCACCAACTGCCTTGATCTGCTGGTGGCATTAACGATACCAATTATACTCCGAGTCTCCCAAGCATTCTCCCACCGGGACAGCTAGAACCAGCACCCGTGACATTAGTATCTGTCGCAGTAAAGCAAAGCACTAGCTAGTCTTATATGTTACTTACGAACTAACCCCCGGGCCACAATCTCATCCAGCATCGCCCGGGTCAACGTTGCCACGGTCTGCGCATGGGTGTCGTGGGCCAAAACCACCGAGCCACCGGCATTCAGACCCTCCAGGAACCTCGTGAAGCTCCTCGGGATCAGGTCCGGATGGTCGTGCGCATAGTCCTTGGTATCCACGCTTGTGCTAATCACATAGTATCCCAGTTCGCCCATGGCGGCGAGGACTTCTCCATTGATGGCGAGATAGGGCGGTCTCATGTACGTCGGAACAACGCCGATGGTCTCGTATAATGCTGCTTCCAGCCGGCGCATTTGCTCGACAACCTCGCCGTATGGTAACGCGGACAGACGGGCGTGATCGTACCTGAGTTTCATATCTTCTGTTCATTTTCTCGCCTTCTCGGTGTTCCGGTCTTGTTGCAATGGGGATGCTGGTGCGCAAGGGGCAAGGGGCAAAGACAATGTTTCTTGCTTACGTGTGCGAACCAATCTGGTGTCCTTCTTTCAGGGTCCGGACCAAGATGTCGTGGTGGTTGGAGAGCTGGTAGCCATTGACGAAGAAGGTGGAGCGCGCGCCGTACTCGCTGAGGAGGTCGAGAAGTTGCGGAGTATAGATGCCTGGTCCGTCATCGAAGGTGAGGGCCACGGTGCCGGGAACCGCACAATGAGTGATGACTGCTCCGTAGGGTACATTTCGTGCTGTATCATTTGAGGCCAGGCACACGGGGCTGGTGTTAAAGAGAATTGTGGTTAGAATGTAGAAGAAGAAAAGATGGGATGACTTCGTAGTCTTAAAAATGAGCGACATGACTGAGATCAGTAAGAATGCGATGGAATTATTCAGGTGATGGCTTCACCCAACTCACCAGAGGGAGGAAGAGAGCACTTAGCTGCCTTGGAGCAGCTTATCATTCACTGTGGTTGTCGTGAGCTGCCAAACGGATGGGAAGGAGCTATACAATGCTCCCTGGTCAAAGAGCGAACTACCCGAGATAGGAAAGGCAGGCTTGCATCATTGATAATAACCTTATGGATTACCTGCGGAAGTGACGCCGACAGACATACTCGTAATATACTAAGTATAAGAAGAGGATCGTCATATCATCATGAAGATCTTATGATTTTGATTATGAGTAAATTACAAAGATACAGTAAATTAGTTGCAGATAATGATGTCATCCTGCATTCGAAAAAAAATGGAATTCAACAACCATGGCCTACAAGCTTCATTGGAACAATGCAACTACAGACTACTGTAGTACTAATTATCAGGTATTGTCCGCCCGTCAACACGAGCTCCATATTGTCATCCTGAATCAGCCTTACCCAATCGCCCCAGCACCCCAGGGACCATGCCACTCATTGGTACGTCCGGACCTGAACAAACGCCGCTATTAATAAGCCTATCTCCGCAATTCCGCGCGAATACGAGATCCCGTCGGAGCTCATCTCCGCAGCCCGCATAGATCTTTCTACCCGGTACAACTATAAGAACGGCACCACTTTCCCAAACAAACAGAGGAGAACACAAACTGACTCTAGCATTCTAGTCCATCAATTGAAGACCGGTGTAAATACCACACAATGGCCACGCCCCGACTCCTCCTCCGCCGCTGTACCCCCGCGGTGCGCTTCACCCTCCCCCGCACCGCTCCCACCAATGCCTTGTTGACACCTGCAACCACAATCCGACTGTCCTCGTCCTCGTCCTCGTCCTCTTCCGCTGCCCCCGCGACTCCCAGCGCACAATCCCTCATCTCTCTCGCCCAGAATCGCCGCACGATCTACCAACTGGGCCGCAACCACTCCGTCTCCGACGCCCAGATCGAGGAGCTCGTGCAGCAAGCCATCCTGCACGTCCCGAGCGCCTTCAACACGCAATCCACCCGACTGGTCGTCGTCCTGCACAAGGAGCACGAGCGGTTGTGGGATCTCGTGATCGGCGTGTTCCAGAACCTGGTCAAGACGGGCGCGGTGCCCGAGCAGGTGTGGAAGAACCAAACCCTGCCCAAGTTGGAGGGGTTCAAGGCTGCGGTTGGGACGGTGAGTTTTCGTTCCCACCTTTTATTTATGTCGCGCACTTTTTATCTGCCCTCGGTTTGGACTGCTGGAGTGAGTCGGAGGGTCCGAGTTCTGACTGATGTTCTTGCACATAGGTCCTCTTCTACGAAGATCCGGCGCACATCAAGCCGTTTTCCGAGAAGTTTGCGCTCTACAAAGATCAGTTTGCACCATGGGCGCAACATTCGAATGCCATGCATCAGTATTTCTGTGAGTCCTTTTTCTTGCGTCATTGTTTCCTCTTCTACACCCTCCTGTTCCCTTGGCGTTGCTGCTGCGGCCGTAAAAGGGGAGCTCGTTTGTCTGATGGGCAGCGCCGGCTGACTTTCGGTGACTGTGTCAAGTGTGGACTGGCCTCGAGGCGCTGGGATTCGGCGCCAACCTGCAGCACTATAATCCCCTGATTGATGCGCCGGTGGCGGAGGCGTGGAATGTGCCTAAGGAGTGGAAGCTGGGTGCCCAGCTGGTGTTTGGCAGTCCGGAGGGAGCTCCGGGGCCGAAGGAGCAGAAGCCTGTCGAGGAGAGGATTAAGATCTATGGGAAACTGTAGACGATTGGGGATACCATGGTGGTGTACACCGGGGAGGAGGGAATACTGCACGGTAGGATTGGCTTCTCGTAGTAGACTAGATAGATGTAGATTACAGGATAGATCTGACGGTGTGCATCTTTAGATTCATAAAGCTTATATCAACAGGGTCACCAAACACAAATGGTCTTAAACGTTGAAGGTAGAGCATGACTTGTGGGCTCTACGGGTGGTTGCGCCTAATTCCCGGTCAAGGGTCGCAACATAGTATATGGCAAGAACCTCAACTGGACCAGACTAGGAGCGTGCTCTGGAGATCAACACATTGTTATTGCTTTACGCCCGACCAAAATAGCCGAATCTAGTTAATTGACTTTGTAAGTCAAGCCTTGATCCTTTTAGACCTCACGTCTCATACTTGAAATTCCATCCAAACAGCATAATCGCTTCAACGATGCCAAGTGGTATATTCTAACCCAGAGAACTAATGCCGCTTATAACGCCCCCGCCATATATAGGTTATCATGCAAAACACAAAGATAAAACCGTAAAGATAAAACCTCCGGCGCCCTCGCAAAGCGCAACAAGGAAGAAGCAAGATCACAAATCAGAAAAAGTCCTGCTCATCCAGCCACTGGGAGTCAATCGCGTAGGCGACTAGATCCGCAGCACAGCACATGTCTTCATGTCCGTGTTCGAGGTCGAGCAGTTCCAGCACGGCGGTCAATCTCTTCTCGAGCGTCTGCTTCAAGTCCAAGACACCATCAGCGTGAACAGGGGTCACCGTCGGCGGCGTTTGTGGCTTAAGGGTGTTCTTCTTGGATGCAGCGGCCGGCTTGAGGCCCTTGTTAGGTGAGCAGGGGGCCAGGGGTTGACGAGGTGCTGGGAGCGAGGGGCCCTCGGGTTTTCTATTCTTAAGGAGGGACTGGAGGAGAAAGAGAAGCCAGACGAGGTTGGTTCGAGGGGCGTACTCGGCCCAGATTCCCGCGATGTCGGGGCATTTCTCCGTCTTGAGGGGATCGCCGTGATAGAGCTGGGCGCGCATGCTGAAGGTCAAGATAGTCAACTAATTGTGCACTTTGCGATGACGAACTTCCGGTTCCACTCACTATCGATATGTGTTTCTGAGCATGATCTCATCCTCATCCCGTCCGATTGCATCGAAAATTTGTTTCTTGTCGAGGTCTGACGAGGCAATCTGGAAGGCCTCGGCCGCTTCGCTGAGGTGCAGTTGTGCGCGAGACAAAGAATAGTCGATGATGGTCGTCTCGAGGGAGCTGAGTCCGAAGCCACTTTTGTACGACTGATGCGTGATCTCTTTGTTTGTGGGTGGATCCATGCACCCCCCTGGCCGAGTACTTCGAATACAAACGTTGCCTAAATGTAGGTCGCGGTGCTGTTGGATGTCAGACTCGGTTATGGCCGGCGAAAGATCAAGGGCTTACCTCGAACAATGCGTATTCTTCCGCTCGAGCAAGCGCCATTGCCACTCCCCAGAAGATATCGTAGATCTGGAAGATAGAAGTCCAAGCAAACTTCTCCAGTTCGCAGCCAGCATCATCCATTTCCACAATTGCCCACAATTGCGTGTCGGGATAGGCCCGTTTACTAGATGGGTTCGGATTCCAGCAGTCGTCCTGGGTCTTCTTGTAGTGGTCCCAGGCTTTCTGGAACGAATCGGGGAATCGGCCCTGAACCACATGGATTTCTCTGAAGCGAGCAAACCCTGGGATCGGATCCAGGTATTTGAGCATCTTGACTTCGGACACGATCTCATCAATGCTGGTAAACTTCTTCGAGCCTGGCCCACTCTGAGCCCGCAGGGGCACAACTTTGAAGACCCCGTCGCCATAGGCCTTCAGGCGCGCGAGCTTGGATCTGGACATCTCCTTCCTGCACACCTCCTCTCGTAATCGAAGTTTATAGACCTCTCCATATGACCCTTCCGCAATTTTGACCACCTCTAGCATGTTCCCAGCCCGGCCAGCCCACGAGTCAAACTTCTGGACACTCTGCGCCGCGGCCACGGACAGCGCCTCATTCAAGATCGGGCGAACATATTCATTGGCCTTCTCATTCGTAACACAACCAGACGACACCCGGGCCATTGGCTTGTCCTTGTTCCTTCGTGATGTCCTCGTCTCAGATTCTATTGTCTCAGATTCTATGAAAGCTGCGCACGTCTTGTTCCGTCGTCGGGTTCGCTCTGTCGGGGTCTTAGGACTGATGCGGACTTCCACCATTGTGTCGTACCGTGGCTTCGCTGTTTGGCGGGTATTTGTCTCCTGTGCATCGGTGTCCATCAGTTGGACTTGCGCGTGTTCGTCGTTTTCCGGCTCATCTTGTGGTTTCGAAATTCGGACGGGCCGATCCCCAGCAGAAGTAGGCTTTACCTCCTTCTCTTCAACCAACTGCACGACCTCCGGTCGGTCCTCTGAGGCCGTCTTCCTCGTCCTTCCAGCTTTACCCTTCCTCGTCAGGTCTATAGGCGTGCTTTTCTCCTCAATCGCCACCTCCGCTAGTTTCACCCGCACACCCTCCACAGCATCCTCGCCGCTCTCCTTCTCGTGCTTCTTGGGTTCCAACCACCCCGGAGCCTTAGCGGGGCTTCGCTGATCAAACACCGCCCTCGGAGCATCTGCTCTCTTCTTCCCGTACACCTTTCTCTGCGCGACGGTGCGGGTTCTGGTTGCCGCTCGGGGAACCCATGGCTGTTGGTTACCGGTCGCAGCGATCGGGGAGGAAGGCGGGAACATGACGGCTTCGTGTGCTTCGCTGGTGAGAGGAGACTTTCGATGATGATCAATGGGCTCGCTGCCCGCGAATGTGAGGTACGCTGGGAGATTATCGATTGCGTGGATGCGAAAGAGACAGCTGCAGCGGTCGCATGCCGCGGAGGTAGCTTATTGTTCTCTTCCCGCTTTAGGCTTAGTGTTGGTCGTTGCTGAGGAGAAAGAAAAACAACGGACTGATTATGTAAGTGGGCCTGGCATTCATCGTCTCATACTCCCTAAAAAGGTAGAAAAGGAGGTACATATGAAATGTAACGAAATGGACATAAGGGTTTACGGGCAGAGGAAGGGGAGGGGTCATCTGGAAGGTACATCTAATGCGCGCTTGTTCGATAATGGAGTTTTTCTCAGTACAGTACATATACCAATACGTCTACTCCGTATGCTGCCTTGTGTGTGCTAGTATATACAAGGAAACCATTAGTTGCATGAGACAACAAAACTGTTGTTGGGGTGACTTTCAAGCTCTATCTCTAAGACAAAAGCAACTACAGAGTACACCATGGTTGTTGTCGAGCAAGAAAAGGAGACATGCCTGACTTGTAGGTCAGAGCGTGAATGTTGCCTACCTCAGCAAGTAAGCCAGCGGGCAGGAATCGAAACCCCGTCGGGCAACCTCCATACAAACCTTGAACTGGATCTGGGGCACCGCAGTCTGAAGTTTCCTTTCCGGTCAGTGTGAAATGGCGGGGCATGTTCAGAAGGGATGTCAGTGAATCTACTCCGTACAGTACTCCCGTACTCTGTAAATAGCGTCGACACGGGCTAGCCGGGAGTTTCACAGGGACGGGTGGACCGGGAATGAGGGAAAAATTCCCACTCTGTTTTCCAGCACGGGCCTTTCATTTGGAATGTGAAGATCCAGTCAGGAGAGACGGGAATAAGGATGGATTTAATGCAAAGGAGGCAAGGATGGATGGAAGGAAGGAAGGAAGGAAAGGTCAGCAGATAACCAAGTTGGGTTGTTTTATTTAGTCCAGTAGTTAGGAGAAGAGTCATCAGGATTCATTCATTCATAATTCTCCATTGAACATAACAATCGAATCTTCGGAGCAGAACGGAAGAAAGAATCTAAAAGCCGACAGTGACGTTATCCCTTCCCCTTTTGGCCGCTGGGCTTTTTTCTGTTGCTTCTTCATAGACCCAAGACAACCACACAGCGCTGCGGTCGCAAACACTGCTGCTGGGTCGCATCAGGCCAGGATCTTCCAAAGATACAATATCGATATCACTTTCATATTTGAAATTAAATTGAGATCCCTACCGGTAGAACGGGAAGCTATAACGAGAGCTATAGAGGTCCGTCGCGTCGATCACGCGAGCGCCGTAGCATTACCGGATTGAGCCAGCGAACCCTCGGGAAATGTTCGCCGCTCGTCTTTTTTTTCCTTTCAATCCATCCGCCATCCATTTTTATTCAGTCTTCTCCCATAATTCACAGTCGGCTTATCGGCGCATCGACCCATTTCCTCCTCCTCCTCCTCCTCCTCCTTCTCCCCCTTCTCCATCACTCTACCTGCTCCTTCCCCTCCTTACCCCGGCCTCTTGTCACTCTCCTCACTCGTTGGCCTTGTCATAGGTCAATGATTCAATAGATAGGCTTTCTTATATTCTCGCTCTTGTTCCCTTGAGATCCGTCTCTGTATTCTTTCCCCATGTCGGCACGTTCGAATTAATCCAAAAATAAGTGACTCCATCATTTCGATGAGCGACGATGGCGTTCAACTTCAACTGGTCGCCACTTATGGCGGACGCGAGTTTCTATACTCGCGCCCAAGATCTGCTGACTGCCGCCTTGAATAAATCTCCCAAACCGCCCATCATCGTGGACGATATCATCGTGACTGAATTAAATCTCGGTTCCATCCCGCCCGAACTGGAGATCCTGGAAATTGGAGATTTGGCGGAGGATCGATTTCGCGGCATTTTCAAAATGTCATACACCGGAGACGCCTTTCTCACTCTTAAGACGCGAGTACAAGCGAATCCTCTCAACACCTATCTTCTCACCCGACCGTCGTTCGCGACTCCCATGCCCGTCGCCGCAGCGTGAGTGTGACTCCTACAAGCGAACCCTATTCTCGCGCACCCTGACCCTTTTCTGTTAACATCTTCACTCGCTGCATTACAGAACTCCTCTCACCATACCTTTGCAAATTACCCTCTCCGATTTCAAACTTTCCGGCTTTGTCATATTAGTATTCTCCAAGCAAAAAGGAATCACTGTCGTCTTCCGGAACGATCCACTCGAATCCCTCAAAGTCTCCTCAACTTTCGATTCCATTCCTTTTGTGCGCGACTTCTTGCAAAGAGAGATAGAGGCACAGCTTCGGATTCTGTTCATGGACGAACTGCCTGCTATCATCCACCGTCTATCCCTTCGACTATGGGTTCCAGAATATCGCGCTGGTGAAGAGCTTCAGAATGAAGCTGCGGACACTGCAGGCGAAGGCCCAGGCCAAGATCCCCTGGCAAGCCCGCCACAAGACCCCGTCGATGCCTCTGGAAACGCCTTGGATGAATCGGAAATCGCCTCTCTTTCCCTCGATTCCACCGTTGAGACCCACTCTCTGTTCTCCCAAAAGAACCTTCTCCGACTGGCTGCACTCACGGATTCCCAGCGGACGCTATCACTCTTCACTCCATCTATTCAGGAAGTTGTATACCGCGCGTGGACTTCACCTTCCGACTCGGGCGATCTGTCTGGAGGCGTGACGTCACCTTTGAGCTCGGTTCTCTCCAGGAGTCATTCGCAGATTGGGGGCCTGTCCTCTTCCTTCCAGGACACAGCCAGCATGGTGTCCGCGCATAGTCGGTCTTCTGTGAACACGCACACTTTCAGCAGCTACGGATTGAATTTGGGTTCTGGTCATTCGAAATCCAACGCGAGAAAGCGGAAGAAGCGTGTCGTTGATTTGCGTCGTCCCAAGACTACCGATGATGCTGTCAGCGTTAGTGGTGAGAGTACCTATACGGAGACTGCGAGCGCCGCCTCGGTTTACTCAGCTCCTCTACCCGTGGTGAGCGAGCAGACCGATGACCCAGTGACGCCCCCACTTTCGCCCAGCAGCGACCTTCATCTTCCGACAATCCCCGAACGACATCGTGCCAGTCTATCTAGACCTGCTATGCCACGGCGTAATATCGCAACTGAAATGTTGCGGGACGTCGGTGAATCATCATCCTCTGCGGCTCCCCGTCATCCTGCAGTTGTTGACGTGGATGCCACTCCTCGGACTGCTACACATCTGCACATGTCCTCCCACCGGGAGAGCGAGAAGCAGCAAGAAGCAGGTGTAACCCGCAACTTGCCTGCGACGGCCCTCCCATTCACAGATGCCAAACCAGCCTCCAGCGTGGTGGATCAAGCGCTGGTCGAAAGACTCGCCGGAGAAATTGCTCGTCGCATGCGCGACGAGAAGCTGACCCCTGGTGGCAACTGCAGTGCGTTTTGGGATCGTTTAAGTCATGAAGATGCTCCGCCAGCATATGGTCAATGATCATACTTTTCCACTCACTTTCACCTTTCTCTCTTCTTATCGGGATTGTTACTGTGCTCAGTGCAGTCCTCAAGGCTCCTGGTTCAGGAGTGATTTACGACCGCTACGACATTGATATTAATCTGTCCGCTCTGCTTTCTATTTTGATTCTGATTATCCTGTGGGGTGAACTTTGGAGCGGGTGCTAGAACTTGTATATTGATTGGGCTGTATCCATAAAAGAACCGAGCGTGTATTTGTGTGATTTGTGCTATTTGTGCTTCTGTGAGCGACATGCTTTCTTTCAGGGATACCACCTCGCTCGCTGACTGACTCTCTTTGACATTGTAAATACTTCTCTCATTTCCCTCTCTTTGCCCTCTTTGCCCTGATTCCTATCAGTCTCAGTGTTGTCGCTGCAGGTGAACCAAGTCTTGAGAACTGGCTCCGCAATTGAGGATAAACCTCCAAACATCCTAAAAATCAAGAACTCTACTACTTTCGTCCTGTCGCTTACTTGTAATTGTAATTGTTGTAACTGACCGTGGGTGTAAGAGTGAGTGAATACTTATCTCCCCGTTCCAACTGGCGTAGGAGGCCGAGGGCGGCTCCACCAGCCGAACTCGGCAGGCTCCGATTGCGACAAACGTCAACCGACCCAAAGCCAAACCTCCTCCTCTTCGTTTCCTTCTCGTCTGCTTCCTTCCGTCGCCACGTCGCCAGATCCTCGCCCGTCAACATCTCGGATTTTCCAACTCCCCCCAAATCTCGTCATGGCGGGCATGTTCCAAAACTTATTTGGAGGCTCGCAGCCTTCCAACCCGGCCAGGGTCGACGATGGTAAAGTCACGCACGCAACCCCATTTTCCAAAATCCGGGGTCGAGCTCCATCCAGCCCCGACCGACCCATGAAACACCCCAGCTCCAGCCTTTACTAACAAACCCATCCGTTAGATTTCGCCGACTTCGTTGAGGCCCCAGAGCCCTCTCCGGCTTCCCTCGTCCCCGGCTCGTCCACCACTCCGGCCATCAATACTCACGGAGTGGGCGCTGGTAGCCCGGTCCCCTACACCAAATGGTACCGGGTGTGGGAGCGGACTTCGCCGCAGGACTTCATGCAGGAAGCCATGGTCATGCCGATCATCCTGCTGATTGTCATCTTCCACTTCTGGGGCACCCGCAAGAACCGGCGTCGGGCCCGCGACTGGGCACAAGCGCACGCGTCTGCCCTGCAAAGTGAGTTCGCCGTCGTCGGCTTCGAGGGCACCAAGACCGAAGAAGCCCCCTCCCCAGACGCCTTGCTCAAGGAGCGGTCGGCGCAGGAGTTTGCGTCCTACGCCACGGGTCGCCAGAACGTGGCCTTCGTGGACGTGTCCGTCAAGCTGCCCAAGCGGTACAACCCTGTGATCTTCTGGACGGAGTCCGTGTTCAGCTTCCTCTTCGAGAGCTGGGAGGCGCCCACCGAGATCTACGAGGCCACCGCGTACACCTTCGACGGCAAGGAGAAGGATGTGGTGCCCGTGCCCGCGAACGACACCTCGTCTCTGAAAGTCAACAACTCGACCTACGACGGCTTCGT